CATGCCACATAATGACATGTTGGTCAAGGAAGGATCATATGGTCCCGTATTATGATGGAGCTGAATTTCCCATAAGAAATGTTAAGGATACATAGTTCAAAAGGAATAACCTTTTCTCTGATGGGAAGCAATATCTGAGGGGTTTGGCAATAGATTTCCTATCACTCACAGCACCTCAGTTTTGACTGCACAGATTACATTTCATTCAGTCAGCCACTGACATGTTTCAGCACAGAGGAGCCTGTCCCCAGTGCTGCATGTTCAGAGGACCCCCACCAAGCTGATCATGTTCAGAGTCACTGCTGTAGCTTCTTTGTTGAGGACTAAGATCCTGTACAAGGACACAGGTCCACAGGAGCTACCTTAACAAGTATTAAGTATCACCGCCTTTTAGTAAAAGCTTTTTGTGGTAGTGTGAGCCAGCCTGATATCTTTAGGTCATAATGATGTGAAAAATGGATGTTTATTTCTTCCATCAATTCAATGTCAGAAAGAGTCTTTTGCCAGATAGGGTCAATAGAACCAAAACCAAATTTCCAGAGTAAAAATATTGAATCTTCTCCATGTTAAATATCCTCTTTTTAAAAAAATAAATACCACAAAATTCCTTTATGTGCCCACAGCTCCAACGTGTAATAGTCAAAATCATATTGCCATAACAATCCCTTTGTTCCTTTACCTCTCCATCTTGATTTCTTTCTTTTTTTTAAATTTGTTTTTATTGATGTCAGGGAGAGGGAGAGAAATACTGAAACATCAATTAGAGAGAATAATTGATAGGCCGCCTCCTGCATGCCCCCTAATGGGGACCTATCCCAAAACCCTAGCATGTATGTACCCTGATCAACAATTGAACCATGACTTCCTGTTTCATAGGTCAACACTCATCCACTGAGCCACATGGGCCCGGCTCCATCTTGATCTCTTATTCCTTCTAATCCTCAGGCCACCTTTCACTCTCCTGACAGTCACTATGATGATGATCTACCTGGAATACTATGGAAAGACCTGCACATTTCAGACTTTATTCAAGACATCGCTAGAGAACCCCCAAAACAACAGGGGAAACAATAACACCAGAGGAAATTTTAGCTTTCGATACCCACAGCTACAGTAAACTATACAGACTAACTCCTAGCCAGATGTCAGAGAAACGTCTAATTCTTGGAGTACTTACTCCCAGATCATGCTCATAGTGCTAAGGGTGAGAGCATGTTCCTCCTTGATCCCTGCTCTCTGCACTAACTGTTGGGAACTCAGTTCCCTTATTCTGCTCTACTCGTCCACTGTTAGGTCCGAGCCTCTCTGCCAGGGACTGGACCTTCACGGACACCGGGTAGAAGATGGAGAAGCCATGAGAAGTTGTGGGTGTATAAGAGTCTTTATTGTAGAAGCTAGTGGCCATGTAGCCATTGCTAACAAGGAGCCATTAGCCAAAGTAGTTCTCCAAAGTAGTCCTTTACGATAGGTAGCTGCATACCGGCTAGTTAAATCATCTTTCCCACAAAGCACCAGCAGCCTCTGTACCTACAGCTGTTATCTGAGCAACCGCCTGCTGCCTCCAGACCAGTTGTTGGCTGCTGCCGCTGCCTCACATAGCAGCAGCGCCTGAGCTGTCTAACCTCAGCGTCTCAGTAGCCTCTCCAGCCTCTCTCTAGCACACCAGCTGGTCCGTAACAGGTCTTATACTATTTAGACAAAAGAGGCTTCTTTCTAAGTAGTAGCCTCCCTAATTTGGGTTATAGAAGGGCACAGTGTACCGTGAGATTGCTGTAACCTTGCATCTGTAAATAATCCTTGGACACCCAGGCCCTGGCCATCTGGTGGACTCTGGCATGGTTGCCAAACCAGGTAAACATAAAACTTCACACTAAAAGTTTATTTACCTCAGTTCCTTTTACTAGTACATCTAACTTTCAACAAAAAAACTACAAGGCATACTAAGACAAAAAGTACACCGTGAAGAGACAGACCAACTGTCAGAACTGATACTGGACACCACGGGTCTGAGGCTGCTTGTCACTACTTGAACCAAATTAAGTAGAGACAGGCTGAATCACTTATGAGCATTTATTCCAATAATACTAGCAGTATGGGGAGGGCAGACGGTCATCCTGAAATTCTACTCTCATCCCCCTGGCTTGTTTACTGATTATATACAAGTGAAAGGGAAGATAGCTATGTGCAGTTGCAAGTGTAAGAGGGAAAGGCGGAGGGGGTGGGGGATAACAGAGGCTACAGTCCGGCCTTCAGGAGCTCCAAGTCCTGGTAACAAGGTGACTAATGTCCTATGATGTTACAAATTGCTCAGCCAGTTCCTGGAACCAGAGAATGGTCAGCATTCCCGAGGCAAACTCCCAGAGGGGGTCAGGATCCAGGCACAGCAACCAAATCAAAGCATTTCCTATCCTCGGTCTGTTCTCAAAATGTATTTCTTTTCTGAGTAATGGACCCATAGAGGCATCTTATTTTATCTTTTAACAGCCTTGTTTCCTCCTCCAGTTTCCCAAGGTCTGTAAAAAAACTTTTATCTATATACAATAGGTAGCCACCAGCTAGTTAAATCATCTTTAGTTAGTAAGATGAATAACTATTAAACAACTGGCTCTATTCTCTCTCTTTCTCTTTCTCTCTCTCTCTCTCTCTCTCTCTCTCTCTCTCTCTCTCTCTCTCTCTCTCTCTGTCTTTCTCTCTCTATTGGTCATCAATGATGAGAGAGAATCATTAATCAGCTGCCTCCTGCACGCCCCACACTGAGGATTGAACCCACAACCCAGGTGTATACCCTGATTGGGAATCTAACTGTGACCTCCAGGTTCATAGGTAGATGTTCAACCACTGAGCCATGCTCACCGAGCAGTGGGCTTTATTCTTATAACACGCCCTTTCTTTTATATGCCCTTCCCCCCTATCAAAGCCAGATTTAGATATGCCAGAGACATTGATATGACAGAGATATTGGAATTATCAGACCAAGAATTTAAAACTATTAATATGTTAATGGGTTTAATGAAAAAGGTGGACAACATTTAAGAATAGGTGGGTAGTATAAGCAGAAAGATATAAACTAAGAACTAAAAGGAAATACTAGAAACAACACTGAAACAAAAATGAAGAAAAAAAATGAAGAGTGTCTTTGACAGGCTGATCAATAGATGAGCATGGCTGGGGAATCGATAAACTTGAGTAAATGTCAGTAAACATTTCCAAAATGTTTAGAAAATACAAAGAAATATAAAGAAAAAGACGAAACAATATCTAAGAGATGTAGGACAATTACAAAATGCACATGAGAATACCAGGAGAAGAGAGGAACAATATTTGAAGCAATAATAATCAAGAATTTCCCAAAATTAATGACAGACACCAAACACAGATGGAGGAAGCTCCAAAATTACCAAGCAGGATAAAAATAAAAAATCTACACCTAGACATATCATATTCATACTGCAGAAAATAAAACACCAAATGAAAATCTTGAAGCCTGGGGGTAGGAGAAGGGTTACCTTACCTACAGCAGAGGAAAGGTAAGAATCACAAGGAACTTCTCTCCAGAGAGCATGCAGGTACGAAGAGAATGGAATGAAATGCTTAGCATATTGAAGGAAAAAGCTCACCAGCCTAGACTTCTGTATCCAGCAAAATTATATTTTAAAAGTGAAGAAGAAATAAAGACTTTCTCGGGCAAACAAAAATTTAAAAATTTTGTCACCAGGAGATCTGACGTGCATGACATATAAAATTTTATCAGAAAGGGTGATGATTTAGGTCAGAAACTCAGATCTACATAAAGGAAGAACTTTACAGAGAGAATAAGTAAAGGCAAGGTTAAAAGCGAGATTATCAGAATTTTACACATATCCAATCTGGGTACTTTTGGGACCTCCAACTAAATGTTCCACGGACAGTTGAATAAGTGAATCGCTTCAGGCCTTGGGTGGAAGCTGGAGGGATATGGTAGCCATTCCTCTGTCTAGGAGTTTGCCCATGGAAAGAGTAGTCTCACTAAAGCCCTGTAAGGTACTCAGGGCAGGTAATTCATTCGAGCAGCAAAAAACATACACTGTGTGCCGGGTTCTGTGCGTGGCGGTGGGAGTAAGTAGACACCAGGAAAGGTGACAAGGAGACAGACGAGTAAAACGGTCACTGAGGGGCTGGCTGGACTAAGCGCACAACAGAAAAATGAAAAAATGAAACTTATTTTACTTTAAAAAAAATTTTAATTAAATACAAAAAGAAATACAGAAAAGCACGTAGATTACCTACAGTGTCACCAACCAAAGAAAACCAGGTTAACAATCTGATGTCTCCTTTCAAACGTTGAAAGGTGGCGCCCTCTTCTGCTTTGTAAGAGGAACAGCTCAGTTCTCACAGGAAGGCTTTGCAGCCGCGGGAGGCGGGAATCTCAGGGATTCCGGGGGGTGACGAGGATGGAGAGGACGAACGGCATGGCCGCGCCTTACAGACTACAAAGTCAATAGTTTGTAAGAGAGGGGCGTTACTCCCATGCAGGTTCCACCTAGAACGGCGGGGCCGGGAGGACCCCCATGGGCTGTGAAGGGGCCTCGCACCCGCCCAGGACCTGACGGAAGGGGCGGGACCTCCGGGGCGGGCCTTCCGGGGCGGTGCTTTGTGGCGCCAGCCCCACCCCCGCCCCCGTCCATGGCCCATTGGCTCTCCATTACAGCCCTTTACCGGGGCAGGAAAAGCTGGTCGCAGGGCGGGAAGCGCGGTAGCCCTCGGGTTCGGGACGTTTGAGGCGGAGCGAGCGTCCTGGAACCATTGGACCGCCAGATTCTTCACCCCGGCTCCCGCCCAAATTGGAGAAAACCTACAAGTCTCTGGCGGCCCATGGGAGGCGCTGAGCCGGATCGCTGAACACCCGGCGTCCACCGGAACAGCCGAGCCCGAGGGCCACCGGAAGCCCCGCCCCCTGGCGGAGCCAGACAGCCTTTGAGGGAAGAACCTGGGTCCTGCCCGGGAGGCAGAGCGCGCCTGCCATGGCTGAGCCCCCGGGCGCCTGCCCGGCTGCCCTGCGCTTCGCTGCTGCTGCCAACTGGCTGGTCGTGCGCCGCCGCTACGTGGACCATTTCCCACGAGTGTTAGAGTTTCTGCGGTCCCTGCGCGCTGCTGCTCCTGGCTTGGTTCGCTACCGCCACCACGAGCGCCTATGTATGGGCCTAAAGGCCAAGGTATTAGAGCCAGTGAGCACGAGAACAGAAGAGGGGAAGGGGCGGGATGCCAGGATCAGACTAGGACAGACCGCTTGGGGGATTGGGAGCGGTTGCAAAAGAGGAGCTGGCCCCGAAGTGGGAATTCTGAGCTCAGTCCCATTCACAGGTGGTGGTGGAGCTGATCCTCCAGGGCCGGCCTTGGGCACAGGTTCTGAATGTCTTGCAACAACACTTTCCAGAGTCTGGACCTGTAGTGCGGGACCCCAAAGCTGTAAGTGATCCTTGGGACAGTCCCCACCCACAGTAAATCCTTGGTGCCCCTAATTTGTCTGCCCTCTTCAACAGACAAAGCAGGATATGAAGAAGATCTCAGAGGCACAGGAAGCCTTTTGCCAGCAAGTGAAATTGCTGGCAGAGGCCCCTGTGGATTTGGCTTGGAAGTTGCAGGTGAGACTAGCTAATTTGAAAGCTATGATATGGCTTTCTTTTCTAGTCCCCTTCTGACCTGCTTTTTTCTGTCTGCAGGAACTTGAACAAGAGTATGGGGAACCCTTTCTGGCAGCTATAGAAAAGCTATTTTTTGAATACTTGTGTCGGCTGGAAAAAGCACTGCCTACCCCACAGTCACAGCAGGTTTTCCTAGGCCTAAACACAGAGGGCAGAGTGTGGGGCGGTTGGACCAAGGTCTGTGTTCTTTATGCTCTCTCCCTGCCCACAGCTTCAGGATGTGCTGAGTTGGATGCAGCCTGGAATTTCTATCACTTCTTCTTTTGCTTTGAGACAATACAGTGCGGACATGGGGTGGCCACTTCCAGGTACCAGGGCCATCTGGAAAAAATTAGAAATGTGGGGGTGGAATATGTAGCCTGAGACCTTTTGAGACAGCCAGCCCGTTATAGGGGTTACATGGGCTTGAGACCCAAGAAACCAGACTGAGTTCATGTGTTACTGTCTGTTCTCTTTACAAGGCACATTCTTTTCTTTTTAGAGTGCTCAGTTACTAATTCAATGAACATGTCAGAGCCCATGGAGCCCAATCCTCCTCGGCAACCAAGACCAGCACTCCATCAGCCTGTGCCAAAAGCCAAGCCTGGCCCACACCTTCCTCATGGAAAGCACCCAGAACCTTTGGCTGGTCGCCACTTCAATCTGGCCCCTCTAGGCCAGCGAAGAACGCAGGCCCAGCGGGCATCCAGTAGGGTAGGCCATAGGGAGCGCCCCACAGCCATGCTATTCCCCTTTAGGAATCTGGGTTCATCAACCCAGGCCATATCTAAACCTGAGAACAGGAAAGAACAAGGGACACACATGGCAGTTCCAGCAGGTGATGCCAGCACGAGAACAGCCTCCACTGGAAAGTCTAAGAGTCCATCCCAGACCCTGGGCAGAAGGACTGTGAAGGAGAACCCAATTGACTTGTCTGTCTCGGAGCAAAAGGAGTAAGTGGAACGGTTGCTTCTGCCTAACAGCACATTCCTTGCCTGCTTTCCCTTCACCCTATTTTCTTTGCTTGTTCCCACCCCAGGAATTGCTGGGACTGCCCCATGGAGCCCCTGAGACTGTCATTATCACCTCCTAGGGCCAGGAAGCCAGGTAGGTATACTGAGTCAGGACTGGATCAGACAGCCTCCTCTCTTGGGACTCTTGAGGCCTCTGTTCACCTAGAGGAGTACTGTGATTCTAGTTTCCTTCTTGCAGTGTGTCCTCCACCTCTGTGCAGCCCTGTCATTACCATAGGGGACTTTGTTTTGGACTCTGATGAGGAAGAAAATGGCCAGAGGGAAGGAATGGTGAGTAAGGAGGAACAGAAAGCTGAGGAAAGGAGATGGGGCAGAACAAGACAGAAACCCATGCTCCCTGAATATGGAGGGCTCAGGGAATGTTTCAGGTGACAGGACCACCCTGCTCCTTTCTCTGCAGGAGTCTCTGGAAAACTATGAGAAGACAAAGTTCGACACCCTAATCCCCACTTTCTGTGAATATCTCCCCTCTTCTAATCCCAGTGCTGTCTCTGCCCCTTCCCGTGACCATACAGACTCCTCTGATACAACCAGAATGCCTTCTGCATCTTGCCTGTTTCCTTCCTCCTCACTCTGCAGGCAGTTTAGTGGGGATAAAGTGGAAGCCCAGCCTAGGGTTGCTTGACTGTATGGCCCAAATTACTTTGTAATGCTGGATCATTAAACTTTGTTTGTTAAAACACTGTGTTGCTGTGAGGGAGGGGAATTAAAGCTTCTATAGGGTCAGTGTAAATCATTCCTTAGAAACGTAACTGGCCTCTCCAGGGCTAAAAGAATCCCTTTGCTCTTTTACTTCCCTTGGAAAGTGTTCGAGTGTATCAGAAAGCTTACCAGGGTTGAGAACCTGGATGAGAAATTTCCTTTTGCTATTCTGAAAATATCCATGTGTTCTGATGCCAGAATATATACTCTGTAAATTTTCATGCTGCCAGGTTATCTAGGGGGTTAGCACTTGAATGGAGATGCTTCACAGAAAAAGTACTCACTGTCCTTGACTCCACTGGTCAGTGCCACCTGCACCTCCACCTCCACTTTCCCGGAGCCAGCACCCAGATGCCAGACTTGTGTAGAAAGCCCCAGAATCTCTTTACAGTCATTGGGATCTCTCTTTATAGAGATACTTAAAAAAATAAACATTTAAGAGCTTTTTAGATGTTCAAAGATTGCATTTAATGAAGCATAATTATCACAACATGATTCTAAAAGCCTTCCTCTTAAGACCAGGGCCATATCTAAAACGCTTATATCCTATATGAATCAGTATCTTTTTCTTATAGTAATCTTCAGAAGCTGAGTCTCCAGATTCCCATTTGATTATCAACTTCATTTTCTCAGCCTGCCTGCCTTGCTTCCTCCCTAGTGAGTGCGTTGTGGATGCAGATAGAGAAGCACAGCATTATTGCAGGAACTCTCAGGTGTGAGATGATCAAATAACACTCACGGCACTGGGATGGGTGAGGGGCCACTTGGGAGGCCCTGTAGTTTGATGCCGGTGCCTTAGGAGGGCAAAGCTGCTCAGATCTAGCTCAAGTCACTGAAGGCTGGATTCATCTGCTGGGTGACGCGGATGAAGGTAGTTCTCCGACTCAGCTCCTTCAGCTTAGCTGCTCCTACGTAGGTACATGTGGAACGGATGCCTCCAAGTATGTCTCGGATGGTTTGTTCCACATCCCCTTTGAAGGGCACCTCCACCGTCTTTCCCTCTGAGGCCCTTAAAGGAGGAAAATTTTTCTTACTTTTTCCTTTGGGATTCCTTAAGCCAAATGATTCCCCAGTCCATGGCATTAAACCCTGGTTCATCACTTTTCTCCCAAGTACGATACCATCCATCTCTCAGCAGCCCTGAGTTCCGCCACCACCCTACTTAGCCATGCCTTCCAAGAACCCTCAGCTCCTGGGCCTCTACACATACCTGTACTCAGCAACGCCCCCCGCATACTTCTTCATGGCTGTGTCAGAACTCATTCCGTAGAAGAGCTTGTATTTTTTGCCATTCCTCTCGACGAGCTCACCACCTGACTCGCTGTGCCCAGCCAGCATGCCACCCAGCATCACAAAGTCAGCCCCTGCCCCTACCAATGAGAGGAAAGATGAATCTGGCCCAGATGTTCACGTTCCCACCCACCCTAAGAAGCAAACTCACACCAAATTCTAAAGCCACTAGAGATTCCCTGTCTGGCTTTGCTCTCTTTCTGCTGTTTTTGCTATCTTGTAATTTTTTTTTTACTTTGCCCAATTGAATAAGACTCACTTCAAGTGCTCCAAGAGCAAAGGTCTCCAACTTTTGTTGGAGTGTGAGCAAGGATCACCTGGACAGTTGTAAAAAATGCAGGTCTGCAGCCCACTCTCCAGAGCTGGATTTTGTAACTCTAAGGGCATTTACATAGCCCAACAGCCAGCCCAGGGGCTGGTGCAGATGGTCCTGGCCCACACTTGGGAGAGTCCATATCAGAGTCTCAGCTGGCTTGCCCCGATGACACCACCACAGGTTTCAGGATCACAAGTTCATATTATGAAAGAGCCTGAATGGCTTCCTCAGCCTTTCTTAGCCTGATCCTAGACCCTCAAAGGTAACGCATCTTCTCCTATAGGATCCTCCTCCTGTGCCCTCACAGTGTCCTTACCGAAAGCCTTGGCCACATCCCCAGGAGAGCTGCAGCCTCCATCCTGCAAAGTAAGAAGCAACGTGAAGAAACAGCATGGATTTCCCAAGCCCTCTCAGCAGTGTCCCCACAGTCCACCTCAAAGCTGACAGGAACCCAGGAGTCCTGATCCACTTCTATCAGAGCTCCCATACCCGGTAGAAAACCCAGATGTTTGGCAGCCTCACACCCTGCTCTGCTCTTGGACCTTACTGAAATGATGTGGCCTTTGAGGCCATGAGCAGCATCTGCACACTCCATCACTGCACTAAGCTGTGGATACCCGACTCCAGTTTTCTTCCGGGTGGTACACACAGAGCCTGAGAAGAACATGACAAGGATGAAAGAGAAGAGCTTTATAGCTATGTGCCACTGAATAGATAGCCAATGGCCCCCCATAAGCCAGCTTACCTGGTCCGATTCCCACTTTGATGATGTCAGCACCAGAGAGGATCAGCTCTTCTACCATCTCTCCTGTTACCACATTCCCTGCCTACGACAGAGCAATCAAAACAGCATTCTTAGGGTCAGAAATGAAGGGGGAGTTGTGTGCTCTCATATATACTATGCCTGGTCCAGGTCCAACATTATTACAAAGAAGGGTACCTGGGTCCCCTCTCCTGGGCCCTCTCAGAGCTTTTAGACCATCCACTCCAAAGGATCCTGCTTCCCCAGGTGAGGTAAGGGGGTTAGTCGACAGTGTCACTGTTGCATTAGGGTAAAACTGGGGTCTAACTGGACCAAGATGAAATTTGATTTACCCAAAAATTTCCTGCCCTTAAGCCATTAAGTGATAAAACCTCTCTGGCTTAGGGGAAGACATAATGATGTAGGCTATATACCATCTACATAGCTGTATTTGCTTTTTTGTTTTGTGTATTTGCTTCTGATGAACAGAAAAGAGAGCTCCTTCAATGCTGTGAGGAAAATGAGGTCTTATAATCATTCCCCTAAGCTTGTAAAATAAAACATTAGATGTGCTGAATCCGGTTTGGCTCAGTGGATAGAGCGACGGTCTGGGGACTGAAAGGTCCCAGGTTCGATTCCAGTCAAGGGCATATACCTTGGTTGTGGGCACATCCCCAGTGGGGGTTGTGCAAGAGGCAGCTAATCGATGATTCTCTCTCATCAATGTTTCTATCTCTCTATCCCTCTCTCTAAAAAATCAATAATATATATATATATATATATATATATATATATATATATATATATATATATATATTTTAAAAAGTTACATGTGATCCCTTTAATAGGATTGTAGTATCATGTTCATTTTGGTAGGCAGGTAGATAAGTATCACAGATATATGTACAATGCATAAGCACATGATATGGTGAGTAATGTCAGGAACACTGGATTTACAATGTATGGAGGGTCAGATTGCAATGACCAATAAACATTTTAAGCATGGAGCCTTGGATAATCACATGACTAAGCAGACCAGGAAAATCAAAATTCAGAAGAGGAGGAATTGATGCAACAAAAATAAGAGTGGCACAAAAGAGGGAAGAAGGAGAGGGATGTACTAACTACAGAGTAATAGAAACATACCATGATGGTGTGTCCAGGGAAACGTTTCCGTACATCCTTTACAAATTCAACAAAGTGTTCAGAGTAGCCATTTGCCACGTCCAGACATATATATTTCATCTGGGGAATAGCTTCCAGGATCTGTTTTAGCTGCTCAAAGTCAGAAGAGCCTGTGCCTGAGCTGGCAGCCAGATGCTGTGGGAGAAGCGGGGGCATTGGCATGGGAGGCATTAGACAGCTGTGGCATGTTTGAAAAGGCCTATGAGCAGTCTAAGAGTTGATCCCCAGGAAGCCAAGAAAAGATTCATGGGAAAATGAGAAAAGGAAGGGATCACGAGAGGACCAGTATTACCTCAAGACAGTCGGGATTCTGGCTGGCAAACTCTTTCCACTGCTCCAGGCTGTAATGTTTGTGGACAGCAGTGAAGAGGGAGAACTGAGAAGAAAGAGCCATCAAAAAGGAGAGAACTTTATTAGGATTTCTTTTTCTAGAAGGAGACCTTTATACTATTCTATCTGAGGGGGGAAAGGACAGGTCTAGAAAGAGAAACTTAAAGAACTCAGTGATTGAGGTGAAATTTTTAATTCAACCATTTGTGTCCCTACAAATCTCAGTAGGACTTTTTACCATAGCTAATACTGTCAAACACTTCCACCAAAGCACTAAGTTATCTGGCTTGGATTTTACCTGCCAGCACATACAGTGCTTCTGACTTAAAAGGAGACAGGTAAAAAAAAAAAAAAAAAAAAAAAAAAAAAAAAAAAAAAAAAAGGTGACAGGACAAGCTGTTGGTGGCAATAGGACAAGGAGTAGACAAGAACTATAAAGACGCTAGACAGAGCCAGTATCTGCCTACACTGGCTATGCCTTTCCTTCTATGGTAACCTCGTAGAACTAACCTGTTTTTGGTATCTCTGGTCAGTTTACCCACAGCAATTCGGTGAGTCTAAATGCTCACAAAAGGTGCCCTGGCTGGGTGGCTCAGTTGGCTAGAGCATTGTCTCATGCGCAGGAAGGTTGTGGGTTCAATTCCTAGTTGGGGCATATAACTGGGTTACAGGTTTGATCCCCTAGTCAGCGCATATCTAGGAGGCAACCAATTGATGTGTTTCCATATCTATCTATCTATCTATCTATCTATCTATCTATCTATATATATCTCACAAAAGGTAAGGCCTTAAGTTTAATGGAGCCAATTAAATGCTACCCCATCCTTTCTCCATCACCACTGGAGTAAAGGATAAGTTTTCTTGAGACATGGACCAACCTGAAAAGTTTATTTCATTCAATCTATTTCAGTCAACAAAATTCAAGTATATAATGACTCACTGGACTTGTATTTTCTAGCTCAACAAATTGCAAACAATATCCCAATACTTTGAAAAAGGCATTCAAAGGCCACTGTGAATGCTGGTGTTTGTGCTTTAAAAGTGCAGGCATGCAAACAGATGAGACAGCAGTTGACTGAGACTGCACAAGCCTTGCAACTGGCAAGCAATCCAAGGAAGTCATGCATCAGCCAGCAGTAAGGAAGTATTACTGTTATACTCAATCAGAGATCACCACCAACACTACTTAGCTGGTACTGAATTCTGCTCTGAGCAACATTCTGCCATCAACATGCTGACAAAGGAAAATCACTGTAGGAGGTTGGTAGACCTTGGAGACAGTGTTGCGTGATAAGCACATCCAATTATATACCAAACTAAAGATCTAAAAAAAATGCATGCTTGCCGAAACCAATTTGGCTCAGTGGATAGAGCGTCAGCCTGCAGATTCAAGGGTCCCGGGTTCGATTCCAGTCAAGGGCATATACCTTGGTTGTGGGCATATCCCCAGTGGGAGGTGTGCAGGAGGCAGCTGATCGATGTTCTGCTCTCATGGATGTTTCTAACTATCCCTCTCCCTTCCTCTCTGTAAAAAAAATATATTTTAAAAAATAAAATAAAAATAAAAAAGATGCATGCTTGCACTCAACCTTTTTATTATTACTGTGAGACTTGACTCTTATCTCTAAAATCTTATTTCTTTAGCACTCAACAGTATTTAAAAGCCAGTCTCAACACAAAACATCAAAACAATGCCCACAAGTTCCATGTGTTACAGCATGTCTAATAACACTGAAGTCAGATTCACCATTTCTCAACTCAACAGGGCAACAGCAGGATTCCTAAAAAGTTAGTGCACAGCAACAGCAATACAATACTAAAATAATAACTACCAGCCTCAGAGAAATGACAGCAGACATTCCAGAGACTTACAGCAATCCAAAATAAAGAAAGGGAGATGAAGTCCTGAGGTTAACAGAGCCTCAAGCAGCAACAGAATCCCATCAACCAAGGGCTACATGGATTAACCAGAAGAGTGCATATGTTCTCAAGAGTATCCAGAGTAACTACCTTCTCAGCTACAAATATAGAAGCAGGTAATATTACTGACAAGAGTAGCATATTCTACTTTGAAAGCAAACAGTATCCTGTATATAAGAAAAACACTCCATTTTGGGCACATCCCAGAAACTCTCACGAACCTAGGACTTAAAGAAGATTTAAAAAAAGAAAAGAATAGGCATATTATAAAATTAAAAAGCTTCTCTCTAGGACCTCCTAGTTAGGAATTTTTAAATGCTCAAAATGTATTTAGTTTCTGGACTGAAACAGTGACTGTTTAGTTTTCTAACAATGATGTAACAGGAGAGATGCATGTGACTTGGAGGGGGTGATCTGGGGCTGGGAAAAGTTGGCAAGGTATATAAAACTACCGCACAAGCCCTAGCCGGTTTGGCTCAGTGGGTAGAGTGTCGTCCTGCGAACTGAAGGGTCTCAGTTCCAATCAAGGGCACATGCCCAGCTTGTGGGTTCAATCCCCAGTGGGGAACTTGCAGGAGGCAGCCAATCCATGATTCTTTCATTATGGGTGTTTCTATCTCTCTCATTCTTCCTTCCTCTCTAAAGTCAATAAAAATATTTTTTAAATAAGTAAATAAAACTGCTGCACAGACCTGGCCAATGTGGCTCAGTGGTTGAGCATCGACCCATGCACCAAGAGGTCACTGGGGCTTTCAGGCTCAATCCCCAGCAGAGGGCATGGAAGAGGCAGCTGATCAATGTTTTTCTCTCACTGATGTTTCTCCCTCTTTAAAAATCAAAACATATCAATTGACAGGGGGGGAAAAGTGTGAATACACTTTTTTGGAAAACACTGTATATCAGAAAAATAGGATCAAAACTTAGCTTTGAGCCGAAACCAGTTTGGCTCAGTGGATAGTCCGCCTGTGGACTGAAAGGTCCCGGGTTCGATTCTGGTCAAGGGCATATACAATGGTTGCGGACATATCCCCAGTAGGCAGCTGATCGATGTTTCTCTCTCATCGATGTTTCTAACTATCTCTCTCTCTTCCTCTCTGTAAAAAATCAATAAAATATATATTTAAAAAAAAACACACAAAAAAACTTAGCTTTGAATTAACTTACATAGCTCTTTGAACTTACCAGATACTGGAGAAAATAGAAAATTGGATTGTTAGTTGCCAGAGAGTTGATCTGGGATGGAAATGGGAATGCAAATAACCCTGCAGTCGGCCCAAATAGCTGGACACCACTGAGGAAGCAGTGTAAGTGAAGGCCTACCTTACTAAGGACCTTGGCCATTTCAAAGGTGCCCACAGTATCCATGTTGGCAGCAATGATGGGGATCCCAGTGTACATCTGCTTTGAGTTGCGAAATGAAAATGATCTTGTGAGATCCACCTGCAGATATGAACAGGAAAAACTGAGCATTTCATTCATCCAAGAAGCAAGTACTGCTGAGGAAAAATACCAGGAGTCTTTCTCAGTCCTGGCCCACCAGGGGAAGCAGACTCACCTCACTTCGAGACTTAAGGGTACTGCGTTTGGGCCTCAACAAGACATCCTTGAAGTCCAGTTTGACGTCGTTGTCTATGTGAGGCATGGCGGGGGCTCCGGGGTAGCAAGGGATCTGAGGATTGGAAGGTAAGGAAAGACCAGACGGGGGAGCTGAGTCAATAACAAAGCCTTCATGCCCTGTTAGGGCTGGCGGCAGGGCTCATCTCTCTCCTCGCTTAAATTGTCCAAAGTCTGGGCAGTGGTCGGTCCCTGAAGACTGCCATCTCCGACCGGCCCCACGGTCGCGATTACCCTCCGTGTCTCCACCCCAGGGGAGAATAATTGGGAGGGAATCGTGAATGACCCTAAACAGGTACATTCTTTACCCTCCTTTCCCTTCTCCCTCCCCGGCAAAAAAGGAATGAGGTCAGAGAGTGATTGGGGACGGAGAAGGAACGGGGGAGGGGTCCCACAACCCGTTTCCGGAATAGGGGTACTCACTTCCTGTGACCGCGGCCAAGGTGGCAGTTAACCGAAGTTCCCCTTGCTTAGCAACTAAGCCTTGTGGGCCACGCCAACAGGTTCCGCTAATTGCGGGCAAGAACAATTAACTGTGGAATTCCGGCTTCGGCGGCTGCTGTGCGAGATCTTCTGGTTAACAGAGTTCACACGCTGAGGTTGCCGTTGGTCTGGGAAGCGGACTACAACTCCCAGGGTGGAACGCGCGGAGCTGCCCGCAGGCAGGACGGGAAAAGTAGTTCGTTCCGCCCCGTCTTCCCACTAGACCCTGCTCGCCGGGGACTCTCAGGATCGCGGAGGCGTCATCTCTGCTCTAATTAAGCTGACCGCCTTCTTTTTCTTTAGGACGCCACTGAAAGTAAACGCGGGGAGCATTTCTGAGCCTTTGAGGAATCCCGGGGAAAGGAGAGGAGGTGGAGCCAGCCAATGACCCGGAAGCAGAAGTGACTCCCACCGACTGAGTGCCGGGGAGCGGCAGCAGCCACTGCAGCGGTAGAAGCAGCGATTTATCTGTGTGCAGACCCAATATTGGAAGAAGATGCTAATTAAAGTGAAGGTGGGAGCAGCTAGTTATCTTTGTCCAGACGCCGTGGTACTGGGCTGGCCGCCGTGCCTTACGGGAGAAGCGGGGAAGGGAAACCACGCCTTTCCAGAGCCTGGAGGGCGCGGACACCCTCGGGGCTCCGCGCGAGGGGTGATGGGAAGCGGGGGGACTCTAGGTGTTTGCGAGGGGCCGGCCCTACTCCGTGGCGGCGGGGTTTCTGTTCTTCCTGCTGTCTCGCCAGACGTGTCATGACCCCGAAGGCCTCCTCTGTCAGGGTTCTCGCGGTTTTTAAACCCCCCGCGGCCAGGGAGAACACCTAGCCTCAGCTTGGCTCCCCTCTCTCTTAGATTCTTGGAATAAGCTCAGGTCTCCGTGCTGCGTGCCTAGGTTACCTGCTTCTCCCAGTCCGAGCGCAGCACAGAAAACCTTAGCCTGGGACCCCGGGGGGAGGGTCGGGGGGGATGGAGGAAACGGTTCCAAGGCTGGATCGTAAGTTTTCGCTGGTTGTCGTCAAGGGTTAGTGTCTCGGCCAGCCTTCAGGAGCCCAGACTGGGAGTGTTCAGTTAGGACCTGCCTTTCTGAGCCAGGCATGTTGGGCCAGCCTCACTTCCTTGGCGGAGGCGGGTTGGTTAGTTGGTTACCAGCAGTGCCCTAGTTCTTGGTACTAGCAGTGCTAACTTCATCTTCTCTCAGCTCCCATCATTTTTCCATTCCCAACCCTCACCAGTCCCATCTGCTATTTCCTCTTTTGTACTTGCAGACAGACAAAAATTAACAATTGATGCAATGCAACATTAGTTTTGACTTTTTTAAAAAAAATATATTTTTATTGATTTTACACAGAGAGGAATTGAAAGGGATAGAGAGAAACGTCGATGAGAGAGTAACATCGACCAGCTGCCTCTTGCACACCTCCCCACTGGGAATGTGCCCGCAACCAAGGTATCGAACCCGGGACCTTTCAGTCCCCAGGCCGACGCTCTATCCACTGAACCAAATCGGTTTTGGCATAGTTTTGACTTATTTACTTCTGAGTAAGTCTATCGTTATTTAGTCTATCACCTCCTTAGTGTATTTGCTATATATAATAGCCATTCTTAACCTCTTCAGTTCTTCCAAACCACCCCTTAGTTAAGGATTGAGGCCGAACAGTATGGCCAAACTATATTGTTTTTCAAACTCGAGTAGTGGCCTATAAAAGAGTCACTAATTGTGAAGTCAATTTAAGGGTTCAGTGGGTAATATGCAATATTTAAAAAAAAAGAAAGAAAGAATGAATAAAAGAAATATCAGGGTATACTTCTGGGTAAAAGTATTGTGTTACTACCCTGTTTCCCCGAAAATAAGACAGTGTCTTATATTAATTTTTTTCTCCCAAAATCCTAGGTCTTATTTTCAGGGGATGTCTTATCTTCCCATGCGCTAGGTCTTATTTTCGGAGGATGTCTTATTTTCGGGGAAACACGGTAGTTCATATGTATTTCTTAATATGGGTCACTGTCAAAAAGTGTGAAGAACATTAGCAGATCAATGATCCAGGATCTTCTTTTCAATGCATCTTCTTTTCAATGCATAGGGTTTTTTGTATCCCCTGAGTATACTGTTAGTTTAACAAACAGGTTATTACTATACTTGATGTTCAGTGTTTTGGAAACTTTTTAAAATATCAATCTACATTAAAAATTTTTAACTCATGTCTCAGACACCCACCCCCTCCCAAAAAAACACACCTTATTATGTGTTATATGCTTTGACATTTCAATTCTAAGTTGATTTCATAACTCATTGATGGTTGAGACCTGCAGCTTAAAAATATACTGTGTTATAGATGGGCTTCTCAAGTTAAAAGTGTTTAAGAATCACCTGGAGATCTTGTGAAAATACTGATTCTAATTCAGTGGGCCTGGGATGAGTCCTGAGATTCTGCATTTCTTCCCATGTGATGCTGATACTGCTTGAGTAGCAAGGTTCTAGATTTTGTCTCTTTGAAAATAATTTTTACTTACTACTTCTCTGAAATTGTCAGTTTCCTTTCCTGAAATACTCCTTTTTACCTTTAAGTGGGTTTCTCTATCCTCCATCTCTCTTTTTTAGTTGTTGTTTGCTACATTTGTCTATACGTTTAAATACATATAAAAGTGATTAGTTAGCTGTGAGTTATATAAATGATAGGTTTTATTGGCAAGACTCTTTTATCAATTACTAATTTTTCAACTTTTCTCTCCCCTTAGCTGACTTCTTCCATATCACTTTCTGCAGTCCTTTAAAGATCCTTCTGATTTAAATCTTCTCTTGATACTTCATCTTTCTAAAATTAAATACATCGCCAAAACCAGTTTAGCTCAGTGATAGAGCGTCGGTCTGGGGACTGAAGGGTCCCAGGTTCGATTCCGGTCAAGGGCATGTACATTGGTTGCGGGCACATCCCTGGTAGGGGGTGTGCAGGAGGCAGCTGGTCGATGTTTCTCTCTCATCAATGTTTCTAGCTCTCTATCTCTCTCTCCTCCTCTCTGAAAAGAATCAATAAAATATATATTTTTTTAAATTAAATTAAATACATCATCTTCTGTCTTAAGCTGGCTCCCCAACACTCATCTCATATATTGATCCTTCAAATCTACCAGGTATCTGGAACTCAGTTCTTTAGAGTCATTTTCTCTTTTAGAATCTAATTTTTCCTTGATATTTCTTTTGTGTGTGTGTGTGTGTGTGTGTGTGTGTGTGTGTGTGTGTGTTTACTTTTTATTCCCAATGCACTTATTCTGGTCTGGAGTCTCATTAACTTATGTCTTTATTCATGTGTGATGCCTCCAACCAGGTTTTCATATGGCCATGCCTCTCTAAAGTCTAGAGTCTAAATCGAGACATAATATACAAAATTATAGTATACAGATCGTTAAACTTTTTCATCATATTGCTTCCTAACCCCAGATCCTGCATTAGTACCCTCTTAGCAGATAACTTTGGGCAACTATCTTTACTATCTAAGTCCCATTTTTCTCATTCAAATGTTTTTTAAATATGTTTTTGTAATTGATTTGAAAGAGAGAGAGAGACATCATTAATGAGAGAGAATAGTTGATTGGCTGCCTCTTGCATACCCCACATTCGAGATCGAGCCCGAAATCTGGGCATGTGCCCTAACTGGGAATCGAACCATGACCTCCTGGTTCATAGGTTGACACTTAACACTGAGCCATGCTGGCTGGCTCAAATATGTTTTTTAACATACCGGTAGAATAAAACCCCAAATTCTTAAGGGTTCAGTTCAGTGAGTTTAACCACAGTATCTATTCATGTAACCATAAGATCTAGAACATTTTCACTCCTACTCTTATAAAAGGTTCCATAGGTTAGTTTTACTTGTTTTAGAACTTCCTATGAATTACAATGCAAAATTTTTGTGTCTGATTTTCTTCACTCAGCATTGTGTCTGTTGTTGAGTATATCTGTATTTCCTTATAATTAAGTAGTATTCCATTGGATGGCAATATCACAGTTTGTTTATCTTTTCTGTTGATGAACATTTTGGTTGTTTCTAGTTTCTGGCCATTATGAATAAGAGTCCTACGAACATTGTTATATAAGTCTTTTTGTGGACATGTTTTTCCTTTGGATAAATACCTAGAAATGGAATTAGTAGATCATGTGGTAGATATATATAACTTCATTTATTTATTTAATGTATTCTTTTACTTTTTTTATTTTAGGAGAGAGAGAGAGAGAGAGAAACATTGATTTGTTGTTCCACTTGCTTATGCATTCATTGGTTACTTCCTGTATGTGACCTAAGGATTGAATCTACAACCTTGATCTGAAGGATGCTTTAACCAACTGAGCTATCTGGCCAGGGCTTGATAATGTAACTTTAAACTGCTAAATAGTTCTTTTGGTGTACCATTTTATGTTCCCACCTGCACTGAATGAACATTCCAGCTGTTTTGCATCCTTGCTAGTCATATCAGCCATTTTTTAAAAATATTTTTATCGATATTTTACAGAGAGGAAGAGAGAGGGATAGAAAGTTAAAAACATCAATGAAAGAGAGACATCGATCAGCTGTCCTCTGCACATCCCCTACTGGGGATGTGCCCGTATCCAAGTTACATGCCCTTGACGGAATCGAACCTGAGATCCTTAAGTCCGCAGGCGGACACTCTATCCACTGAGCCAAACGGTTAGGGCCATATCAGTCATTTTTATTTTAGTTGTAATAGTGGGTGTGAAATGTTATTTTATTTAGGTTTAAATTAATCAGTGCTGATTTTCACTCACCATAGCATTTTGACATTGCTCATTGTATTTGGACAGTAATATTCAATATGGCACTTCCTTGTTTATATAGGTTTATTCTATTGATTATATGGCTCAGTGTTTCTTGATTGTAAGTCTTCACTTGAAAAATATTGTTGGCAGCCGAAACCGGTTTGGCTCAGTGGTAGAGCGTCGGTCTGCGGACTGAAAGGTCCCGGGTTCGATTCTGATCAAGGGCATGTACGTTGGTTGCGGGCACATCCCCAGCAGGGGGTGTGCAAGAGGCAGCTGGTCGATGTTTCTCTCTCATTGACGTTTCTAGCTCTCTATCTCTCTCCCTTCCTCTCTGTAAAAAATCAATAAAATATATATTATAAAAAAATATATATTGTTGGCAAAGACTGGATCACTTAATTTCTTTTATAGCCCCTCCAACCCCTAAAGCAGTGTGTTGGCTTAAGTTCATCATAGACATGTTAAATAGCATTGAATTCATTTCTGGATCACAGTGAGCAGATCTGAGGGAAGAAGCCTAGTATTGCATGATATATAAAGAATATCTTTTAAAATTGTTCAGTTACTTTTTAATTATGGACAACTTCAAACATATACGACAGCATAGCAGTGTTTCCCAAAGGGTGGTATGCGTACCCCCAGGGGTACGGGAAGAGTTTGGTGGGGGTACGAGTTGCACCGGAGTTTGGTGGGGATATGCACTGCACCGTGCTTAGCTGCGCCTGATTCTACATTCTCATGAAAACTCAGCGTTACGAAAATTATAGGAGTACACATATGTCAAAAGTTTGGGAAACACTGGCATAGAGAAAGACATACTGCACACTTTACTCAGTTTCAAAAACTATGATTTCATGGTCCATCCTATTTACACTCACCAGTCCTACTTAGCTGATGTTTTCTGAAACAAATCCCAGCATATGTTACTAATATATTTCAGTATTTAGCTATCCACTGAACCACACCAGCTAGGGCAACTTTTTTTTTAAAGATTTTTAAAAATATATATTTTTTAATGAATAACATAAACTGATTAACAAAAACAGACCCAGAGAAAGAGAAGGAGCGATCAGACTCTCAAACCTCAGAGGGAAAGTAGGGGAAGATGAGGTAAGGGGAAGAGATCAACCAAAGGACTTGTTTGCATGCATGTGGGTCTAGCCAGTGGCCATGGACAACAGGGGGGTCGGGGCATATGTAGGGAGGGGTTTGGGATGGGAATGGGGGGATGAGGACAATTATGTGATACCATAATCAATCAATAAAATAAATAAAATATATTTTTATTGATTTCAGAGAGGAAGGAAGTGGGAGAGAGGGATAGAAACATCGATGATGAGAAAAATTCATTGATTGGCTGCCTCCTGCATACCCCTTACTAGGGATCGAGCCACAACACTGGCATGTGTCCTTGACCGGAATCGAACGTGGGACCCTTCAGTCCATAGGCCGACACTATATCCAATGAGCCTAACCTGCTAGATCTAGGACACCATTTTAAGTGTACAGTCAGTAATTGTATTAAGATGTCAGCAGCCCTTAGCCTATAGAAGAAGTTAAGAAGACCAGAGCTGCAGTTTAGGATTTACATAGAAGTCTGGAGAAGATATGGGAGAATAGAATGTTGAATTCTAGTGTTACTTAAGAAGTTATTCAGAGGTTATCTCTGATATCCTTGAGAATTCTTTGAATTGTCTAAATATTAATTTCTACCACTGATATACAACAAGATTCTTCTGGCTCAAAGGAATGCTATCTTTAAGATACCTCTCATTGCTATCTCAAGCAAAAAAAAAAAAAAAAAAAAAAAAATCAATTCTAGTGGGGTGGGGTGTGGTAGAGAATGTGAAATAACCTTTGGGACTAAGGTCAAATGGTTCACAGAACCTTGCCCTCTCAAACACGTCCACAGCCTAAAAATGTTTTATGAATTTAGATGTGGTCAACGCCTTCCGATTCTTTAGAGCAGCTTTGCCAAGAATGTACATCTATCTCTTAGAAGGCAGTAGATCCAGAGACCAGGACAGGACATTTTACCTAAGAGACAAATTGTACGGTGGGCTATAGGACTCATGAAACCTTTGCCTGTTTCAGACGCTGACCGGAAAGGAGATTGAGATTGACATTGAACCCACAGATAAGGTAATGCCCCATCACATCTTCGTGCCTGTCTCCCTACATTTGTGTGGGTATGCTGATGAACTTAGTCCTTTGCTTTCATGCTGTCTGCATAGCTCTGTTCTTTCATTTCCATGGTCCTACCCCTGTCTACCATGGGCATCCCCTGACTACTTGTACTTCTTAGGTGGAAAGAATCAAGGAACGTGTGGAAGAGAAAGAGGGGATCCCACCACAGCAGCAGCGGCTCATCTACAGCGGTAAACAGATGTGAGTTTGGAATGGAAATGAGGGGTGGCGATGTTACATGAAGCTGAGGGAGCAAATACTGGGGATGGAGTAGTCTGCTTCTTTTTATTGGTGGCCTAGACCCTTTGACAATTTAGTGATGCCTATGAACCCCTTCTCAGAATCTGATTTCTGCAGGCATAAAATAAAATACATAGAATTACAGAAGAAGCAAATTATATTGAAAATATTTTCAAGATGCCTGCAAATAATTGTAATATATGAAAATACTTAATTTCTATCATTAATAGGTTACCCATATTGCTAATACCAGTATGGATTTTGCCTATGTTCACAATTTAAAGAAATATTAGATTTCAGATAGGAGTTAGTAAAAATAACGATGTAACTTCTCTCATCTGAGTTTATAGGCCGCCCCCGAGATCCATGAAACCCAGGTTCAAAGCCCTGTTCTAGATGATTTCTCTAATCCTTTCTATGCCTTCTTTTCCTGCAGGAATGATGAGAAGACAGCAGCTGATTATAAAATCCTAGGCGGCTCAGTCCTCCACCTGGTGTTGGCTCTAAGAGGAGGAGGTGGTTACAGGCAGTGATGGACCCTCTCTCCATTTTACCTCCTTAGCCTGTCTCTTGTAATGAGGCATCATACATCCTGTCACTCTCTGGAACACCAGAGTCACTGCCCCCTCTCCTGGATGCCCAGTCTTATGTGTCTGCTGGTAGGAGACTGTGAGGACCCCAGGATGCAGTGTTCCTGTCCCAAATGGCCCCTGCTGGCCTTTGGGTTTAGTTTGCAGTCCTGTGTACTTCCCTCTTATGGCTATGTCCCTGGTTGTCAATAAAATATTTCCTGGCCTCCTGGACTCTTTCTTCTGTTACACAAACATGACTGAAGTACAAATGGACTCAGTGCATACCAGGTATAGCAGGCTGAAAGAGGAGGACAATGGAAGGGAATGTGCCCTCAGAGTGATTACCACACTGTCAGTGGCAGTGGAGCACTGGAGCTAGACCTCACCAGTTCATGAGAGCTAATAATTGGCAGCTCTTTACAACCCCATATTAAGTAACTTCATGTTGGTAGCTTGAAATTGGCCATGGTAGAATATTTATAGTAATTGGCAAACTGAAAATCAGTTTCTCCCCCGAAACTGGTGGTTATACACCTGTCATCATATTACTGACATGGGTGGTAGAAACCAGGAGTGAATTATCACCTACTGGACATTTGGGCCTGACTTGAGAAAGGCCTGAAGGGTTTTACAGATACCACGTACTTTATGGTTGGAATATTGTTGAGGGCTCTGGGCTCTATACTATGGAAAAGCTCTGATTAGAACAGAGCTTGAGTGAAGAGTGACAAGCTATTATATTGAAAATATTTTCAAGATGCCTGCAAATAATTGTAATATATGAAAATACCTAATTTCTCTTGTCTCAGTTGGTAAGGTAAAATGAGGGACTGGTGCCAGAAGAAAGGTCTTCCTTTTCTTGGCGTCTCTAGTAGAATCTAGGGGTTGAAGCTGAAAACGCTGTGGGCCAGCGTGCGGTCTCGTGCGCACTCGCTGCAGCCCTTCCCACCCTCCGCCGTCAGGTGGCACCCTTGCACGGCCTTCACAGCTGGGGCGGTGCCAGCTGCCGGAGGGCGTCTGAGCCCCAGAGGAGGCCCCGCCTCCATGCACGCTGCCTTGGGCGCCGGTGATGGCGCAGCTCCCTAAGCTCGCCGTCTTCGATCTGGGTGAGGGACTCACTGCGGAGAGTTTCGTAGGGCGCGCTCCTTTTCCAAACCCCAGTTCTAGTTCTCGAGGACCTGCCCCCTCCAGGCTGAACCCTCCTTCTCTTCCCCGCGCAGATTACACGCTCTGGCCGTTCTGGGTGGACACGCACGTAAACCCCCCATTCCACAAGAGCAGGTGAGGGCCGGCGGGAGAGGACGGGCCAGGGGCCGGGCCGGAGCTGAGTGCATTCTCTTATTTAGTGATGGATGTGTGCGAGACAGTCAGGGCAGGACCATCCGACTGTACCCAGAGGTGCCCGAGGTCCTGGATCGATTTCGAGGCCTTGGGGTACCCATTGCAGCTGCTTCACGGTAAGAACAACTGAAAAAAAAACTGTCAATCTAATGTTGATAGATGCATACGTGAGACTTCTTGTGTAACCCCTTGGTTACAAAAATTTAGGCGGTGGAAAATTTGTATTTTACATTTTTAAAATTATGACTTCTCCAGTGCCTTTTTATTATTATTATTATTATTATTATTATTATTAATCATTGGCTTAGCACCCCCTATGTCAGACAGGAAGGATTTGAAGTAGAATAAGGACCTCAGAAGCCTAACCAACCATCCTGGGGAAGCAGCAAGTTGATTTCCCGCTGGTGATACATAACTTCACTTGCAGCTCAGGCCCTCCACTCTCCTGATCGCATCTAGAACATCTTTTCGCAGGACGGGTGAAATTGAAGGGGCCAACCAGCTACTGGAGCTCTTTGACCTCGCCAGATACTTTGTTCAAAGGGAAATCTATCCAGGCAGCAAGGTCACACACTTTGAGAGGTATGAGGGAAATGAGGGGAGAAGTAGGGAGAGAAGAGCAAAGAGACTAGAACAACTAAGAAGCCAGCGTGGTTACTCCCCTGCCCTGCCTTGCCCAGGCTGCAGAAGAAGACTGGAGTTCCTTTCTCCCAGATGATCTTCTTCGATGATGAGAAGCGGAATATTGTAGATGTCAGCAAACTGGGTACTGAGCGGTGAGAAGAACTATTTGGGAACTGGGGAAGAAAAGGTTCCTAGGAGAAGTTGGGTATAAAAATATCTCTTTTCTTTCTAGGTGTTACCTGTATTCATGTTCATAATGGAATGAGTCTTCAAATCCTAACTCAGGGATTAGAGACATTTGCAAAAGCCCATGCAGGACCCTGAGGTCCAGTTCTGTGGAGGAGACTCAGTTGAGGCATAAAACTCAAGAAAACTGGGAAGGCATTTTCAGGTGCATGTGTAAATTATAAAGTGTATTTGTGTGACAGAAGAAATCTTATCACAGTGTGGAGTTGTTTGTTTTTCTCGCGTGTGGTCCAGGGTTGGCTGCCCAGAGTGTGAGGGTTAGACTGCATCAGGCTCTGCCTTACAGCCTTGTGGCAAAACCAGGACTCTGATCCCCTCGTCCTGGCCCCATCCCCATACCTTGTCCTGAGCTGTCCAGGGCATGAAGCACTAAGTCTTCCACTGTTCCCTGTACATTTCTTTTCAGGAAACAGTTTATTTTGGGGATGGGGGTAGCCTTTGTGTGTGTGTGTGTGTGTGTGTGTGTGTGTGTATATATATATATATATATATATATATATATATATATATATATTTTTTTTTTTTTTTTTTTTTTTTTTTAAGTTTTGGTTACATAAGTCTCCTTCCTTTCCCCCCCTCCCCCCTTTGACCTCTCCCCAGCCGCCCCCACTCCCCAGCACATGCCCTCACCCCACCCACCCCCGTCTGTGTCTATTGCTTATGCTCACAAGCCTGCATTCTAGTGCTTTGGTTCCTCTCTTCCCGCTCGCCCCGCCCCGCCCGCCCCGCTCCCCTCAGGTGGGACGGTCTGTGGGACGGTCTGCTGGAAGCGGCTGCTGTAAACCCGGTTGTGTGTTTGGGGCTGGAGGTCGCCTCCCGGGACCGCAGTGGCTTCCGGGGCGCCTAGTGATGTCGCGGCGGCGGCGCCGAGAGGGGATTGGCCGGGCGGGTGCGGAGTGAGGGCCGCACGCTCCCAGGAACCAGGAACCAGGCGGAAGCGTGCGGACCGAGGGGCTGAGGCGGGAGAGGCAGGGCCATGAGTGGTCTCAGCCGGTTCTTCGGGAGGGGTGAGCGCGGGCCACCGGGAAAGGGACGGGGACGGGGACGGGGAGGCGGACGGGGAAGAAACCCAGGGGACAGGCTGTCCGAAAACCCCGGTGATGGCCCAGCAAGGCCTGCGGTGCCGGGAGGCCCCCCCTGGCCAGAGCGCCAGGCTGCTGCCGCCTCCCGCCGCCTCGGCTGGAAGAGCTCGGGAGAGGAGGGCGGCGGCGGTGCTGGCGCCCACAGGTTAGGTTCCGATGGCCAGTGTCCAGGCCTTTCCAAAACTTTGGTGCTCTCCAGGGCAAGAGGGAATCTGAGAAAGGGGCCTTCTCAAAGCTCCTATTTGATATGGGAAGACAAGCAAAAACTGGCATTTACAATATAGTATAGCACTGCATGGTGACGTTCGTGAGAACCAGGGAAGCATAGAAGAAGCAGGTGCCCAGGGTCCAGACGGCTAGAAGTAAGGCAAGTGGAGAATTGAGGTACCCCAGGAAGGGGTGCCTGCGTGTGTGCGCAAAACAAAGGCTGGAAAGAGGCTAATACGGTGGAAGAGTAGTTCCCCGAATATGTGTGCTAAAGGGGAAAAGAAAGCAGAAGGAGGTGTAGTTGGAGATGATCTTGTGTGTCTCACTTTTAAAGTTTCGGATTTTATCCTGTAGGCAGTAGTGAGTATGGAAGGATTTTAAGCAGGCAAGGGCCATCAGATTTGTGGGCTGAGGGAAATAACTGAGAAGTGCAGAAGATGAAAGGAAAGATTAAATCGGGTTTTAATTCTTTTTCTCTAGCCCTCTGTACTTCATTTTATTTCAGCCTGTGGTGTCAGGACCTTGGGTATCTCCTAGGATAGCAAATGGAACAGTGATTATAAAAAGTGACAATTCTGGTGGGGATGTGATAATGGGAGGTTATGCATATGTGGGTGCAAGGGGCAAATGGAAAATATCTGTACCTTCCACTCTATTTTGCTGTGACTCTAAAACTACTCTAAGAAATAAAGTCTACAAACAAATTTTTAAAGGCTGGAAATGACTTGAAGAGGCAGCTTGGCTTTGGAAGACATACTTCCACATTTCAATTACTGCTCAATCTCTTATTAATTGTGATTTCATACCAAAAAAATGTTAATATCTTTGTGCCTGTTTTCACATTTGTAAAGTCCGTTCGTGTAGAGAGTCATTTGGGGATTAAAATAACACAACCAGGTGCCTAGCACATACCGTGCACTCCATGATTGGTGGGTAATTTTCTCTCTTCACACAATATGGGCCTTCTCTATTGGACTCCAGGGAAGAAGGAGAAGGGACCAAGCCCTGAAGAGGCCATACAGAAACTGAAGGAAACGGAGACGATACTGATCAAGAAACAGGAGTTTCTGGAACAGAAGATCCAACAGGAGCTACAAACAGCCAAGAAGCATGGGACCAAAAATAAGAGAGGTGACAGGGGAAAGGTGCCGATCGGGAGGACCCAGGTGGGAAGCAGGGGCTTCTGACTCTGACGTTCAAGGTGTGGGCTGGGTCAGCTGCCCTACAGGCTTTGCGGAGGAAGAAAAGATTGGAACAGCAGCTAGCACAAACGGATGGGACATTATCCACCCTGGAGTTTCAGCGTGAAGCCATCGAGAATGCCACCACCAATGCAGAAGTGCTTCGCACCATGGAGCTTGCTGCCCAAGGCATGAAGAAAGCCTACCAGGACATGTGGGTATGGGGGGAAGGGGCCAAGCACAGAAGAGGAGCTGGGTGTTATGCTTTGGATCTTAAAAGCTCTCAGAATGTGAATCTACAGTATAGACACCTATAATGGCTAGACGTCCGTCAGCCTCCTTTCTTCTTGCAAGAATCTCTCTTTTCTGGCTAGAAAAATGATTTTCCTAATTTTTAAAGATTCTTCAGAAAAGGGAGTATAATCTATTCCCAGCCCCACCCCCGTTCCCATGTGAATTCTTGCCATTTTTCAGTTTGCCATTGTAACTTGCCTAGTTACAATTTTCCAGGGATCTCTTATACCTGCTAGCCATGGATTTATCAGCGAGGCCACAGGCAAGGGACTTCCTGTGAGATCAGAAGGTCAGGGGGGCAGTTGCCTGATATCTTGGCTCTCTGTTTCTCAGGGACATTGACAAGGTGGACGAACTGATGGCCGACATCACAGAACAACAGGAGGTGGCCCAGCAGATTTCTGATGCCATTTCTCGGCCTGTGGGCTTTGCAGATGATGTGGATGAGGTGATTGGGAGTGAGGGGTCAGGAAGTTCTTGGGGAAAGCATGGGACCAGCCAAAAACAATGAGAATTGGAGGGCAAGTTTAGAGGGGAATATGGTATGTTTTCAGAAGCAAAGGTTTCCTTTCTTCATCTTGCATCTTGTCATTCCCGATCTAGGATGAACTGTTGGAGGAACTAGAGGAGCTGGAACAGGAGGAATTGGCTCGGGAGTTGTTACATGTGGGCGACAAGGAGGAAGAACCCCCAGTCAAACTGCCCAGTGTGCCCTCTACACATCTGCCCGCAAGGCCAGGTACCCAGGGCTGTTCTGATGCCTCAGGGACTTGAGAGGGTGGGATAGAAATGGGAGAGATTTCCTCATCCATCCTGCCTTAAAGGACCAGGCAGAAAGGGCAGCTGCGAAAGTTGCACAGGTTGTTGTGAGGGGACCTGGCTAAAGGGGAATGGGGACTGAAATCCGGTCTGTGCTCCACTCAGCAAGCTGTGTCCCCTGGTGTAGGGCTGCAGATGCTATGCAAAACAGGCACCTTTTAAAAATTTGCACAAAGATACAGGATTAGCAGCAGCCCAGTAAGCAGAAGTACCAAACCTTTAGGTTCTTTGCTGGGGAGAGTGAATTCAGCAGGTTCCGAGTGCTGTAGCAAGGGGTGATTGGAAGATGCTGAGGCTTTAACACGTCTTTCTCTGGATATCCTTGTCCCCAAAGCTCCCAACGCAGATGAAGATGAAGAACTTCAGCAGTTGGCCGAGTGGGTATCCTGACGAGTCTAGGCTTATCTTCCTGATGCTGCCTTCATTGATCTCTTTTCCTTAAGTGCCAAGTGCTGAGCTAAAGGAACATAGCCTTTTGGGGAGGCCCTGCTGAGGGTGGTGGGATAGCCCTGCCAGGGAAAGGTCTGTTGCCTTCCAGTCCCTGGCTCAACTCTGAAGAAGGATCTTGGTGCGGGAGGAGCCCCTGGGCTCCCTTCTCTTTGATAGCAGTTACAGTGCCCTCGTCTTCAATAAAATTGGGCAGCCAAAACTGGTTTGGCTCAGTGGATAGAGTGTTGGTCTGTGGACTGAAAGGTCCCAGGTTCTATTCTGGTCAAGGGCATGTACCTTGATTGCGGGCATATCCCCAGTGGGGGGTGTGCAGGAGGCAGCTAATCTATGTTTCTCTCTCCTCAATGTTTCTAGCTCTCTATCCCTCTCACTTTCTCTCTGTTAAAAAAAAAAAAAAAATAGATTTTTAAAAAATAAATAAAATTGGGCAGATGGAATCCTAGTGCTTATACTGCCTTGTCTCCACCTGAAACTTGGAGCTGTTTCAGGCAATGAATAGTAACAGGAATAATGAAGGGGCATTGGAACATAGAATAAATGTTTCCAATATCTTACCTACTAGGTTTATCTTTCAAGTTGGTTTGTCCTAGAGTTGCAAGAGCTGTGGTTGAGGAAACTGCCGTCTGTTGCTTATTTTAGAACTGGAGCTTTCTCTGCATCTTCCCTCATCACTTTCCCCCAGGCAGCGTCTGACAAGACAGCCCCATGATTTACCACCCATTTCCTTTTGCAAAGCTCATTATTAATGACAGGGAGGGAGAATACAGGATTAAAGGGGCAAGTAGCTCTCCTTTATCCAGAACCCATAGTTAGTAGACTTGAACGGTCACTTTTCTGTCTAGGAGCAATAGTGTACGGGGCTATGATACACTAGGGTTGTTTCAATAGTGAATTTAGAGAAGTGACAAGGAAAAAGATACTTCATATATCCTGATACCCATTTTTTTCCTTTAAAAAACAAAAACATTTGTATTGCTTTCAGAGAGGGAGGGAGAGAGAGACATCAATGATGAGAGAAAAATCATTGATCAGCTGCCCCCTACTGGGGATGGAGCCAGCAGCCCAGGCATGTGCCTGGACCTGTAACTGAACTGAGACCTCCAACCACTGAGCACCACTGGCCACACTTAACCCATTTCTAAAAGAACAAACAATGCTGTCCCTTTAGACCAGTGGTCAGCAAACCGCTGCTTGTAAGCCACATGCAGCTCTTTGGCCCCTTGAATGTGGCTCTTCCACAAAATACCACCTGCGGGCACGCACATACAGTGCTATTGAAACTTTGTGGCCCATGCGCAGATGTTGGTTTTTGGCTCTCAAAAGAAATTCCAATCATTATACTGGATATTTGGCTCTGTTGACTAATGAGTTTGCCGATCACTGCTTTAGACTATAGACAGAAGCAGAGCCATGACCAAACAGAGCAACCAGAGCCTCTACCCTATGACTTGACCATTTAAAGTGCAAAGAGCTGAAACCGGTTTGGCTTGGTGGATAGAGCGTTCCACCAAGGTCAAGGGCACGTACCTTGGTTGCGGGCACATCCCCAGTGGGGGGTGTGCAAGAGGCAGCTGATCGATGTTTCTCTCTCATCAATGTTTCTAACTATCCCTCTCCCTTCCTCTCTGTAAAAAAATCAATAAAATATATATTTTTTATTATATATAATATATAAAAAATCAATATATATATATTATTGATTTTTTTACAGAGAGGAAGGGAGAGGGATAGAGAGCTAGAAACGAGAGAGAGAGAGAGAGAGACACACACCGATCAGCTGTCTCCCTTGGGGACGTGCCCGTAAAGATAGGTGGATCCTGCTCACCACTCACTCGCATGCCCCTGACCGGAATCGAACCCAGGACCCCTCAATTTGCAGGCCTACGCTCTATCCATTGAGCCAACCCGGCTTTGGCTAAAATATATATATTTTTTAATTAAAAATAAAGTGCAAAGAAATGTAAAATAGTGAACATGTACTTAGCCAGAATAATGAAGCTTCCCTAAAGCACGTTTTCATCTGAGCACCCCCTCCCCCATGAGCCAAATATGAACTACACTGTGAATGACATTGTGGACTTAACAGCTGTCAAGATTACTAGTCACTGCCGGGACCGGTTTGGCTCAATGGACAGAGCGTCGGCTTGGGGACTGAAAGGTCCCAGGTTCCATTCTGGTCAAGGGCACGTACCTTGGTTGCGGGCACATCCCCAGTGGGGGGTGTGCAAGAGGCAGCTGATTGATGACTCTCATCGATGTTTCTGACTCTATCTCCCTTCCTCTCTGTACAAAATCAATAAAATATATTTAAAAAAAAAAAAAAAAAAAGATTACTAGTCACAGGCTCTGGGCAGAAACCCACCTCTTACCCTCAGCAGTGTTCCCTCCTAAGATTCCCTGAGGAAAGAATATCTGACCCCAACTGATGAAACTAAATCAGAATTAGATTTATTTTTGGTATAAAAGAGTTTTGCCCCAGACCCTTCCTGCTTTGCTCCTCTCTCAACCCCTGCCTCAGCTACTTTCACATATTGGTTTCCAAGGGTGCGGGACAATTCACCGTGTTGAGCGGCTGGCACATGGCCTCGAGCAGCCTGATCTCATGGGTGGGTTGCTCAGGCTGGAACTTGATCACCCATGGGTCCTTGATGATGTCCAGGATGGTGGCACGCTTGGTGGCTTGACGTAGCGTCTGGAAGACCAGGTTCTAAGGCGGGGGAGAGAGGGGTCTTGGCTGAGCCTCCCATTATGCCACACAGGCAATGAACAGGGGACCTAAGAACGAAGCAGGATAGCCCATCACACCACTCTGATGGAAGGGGTTCTGGCCCTGATTTTATCCTGAAGAACCAGGCCTTTAACTCCCTGGAGGAGAAGAGAAGGATGGATTCAATGGGTGGGGGCAAGGGGGGGGGGGAGGTCCCTTGTATAATCCTCTTCTGGCCTAAAAAGATAGGTGGATCCTGCTCACCACTCACTTCTAAGGTACGGAGCCCAGTGGTCGGCCCTTTAAGTCCTTCCCACTGTTCTAGGGCAGGGGCTAAAGTGCAAGATGGCTCTGGTAGGGAAGAGCCTCTCCGGGGTTGGGAAGCCTAGGTTGGGTTCCCTCCCTGTGGGTCATCCCTGAGTCCTCAGTACTATTGGGGAAGCCAGCACCTTGCACTCCGGGGAGATGGACAAATTAGGTGGAAAAGTGACCTCCTTCTGAGTCTCTTTCAGCAGCTTCTTGAGATTGGTGTCATCAAAGGGCAGGCGGGCAACCAGTAGAGTGTAGAGGATGACGCCCATGCTCCAGGTGTCGGACAGGAAAGGGTTGTAAGGTAAGCCCAACAAGATCTCTGGGCAGGCATAAGCAAAGCTGCCACAGTAGGTCTGGCTGAGGTGGGTAAAACAGTCCCTTTGTTGTAAAGAAGGGCTATTACGCACAGGATAGTTAGAAGGTACCATCTTGGCAAAGCCAAAGTCTGATATCTTCACATTCTCCCGCTTGTCCAGCAATAAGTTCTCCAACTTTAAGTCCCTATAAGGAGCAGAAAAACTGGGGGTCAGGGAGAGGACTTAGTATTAGACTCAGAACGGAAGGGCCAGGGGCCAGAGGCTAGAGGTGAGGAAAGGCATGGTGGGAGAGAGATGCCATTGTGAGAAAACTAAGAGGAAGTTGTGAGCTGAGCCCAAAGAGGAAAGAGGGTGGTATCTGAGGACCCCTGGGAGCTCGCCATTCATAAAGCGCTCTCCTCACAGTGGGTACTTAATAAATGTTCTTGACCAGCTGACTAAAAAATATGGATGAATGGGCCTAGATACTGAGAAGGGAGGTCAAAGGAAGAAAAAAAACAGGGCAGAAATGTCCATAAAACCCCCTTGAGAGCCCAAAGGCCCCGGTCCGGTGGCAGCACTCACCGGTGCACAATGCCCTTGCTGTGCAGGTAGGCGATGCCCAGGGTCATCTGGGAGAACCACTTGCCCGCAAGGGGCTCAGAGCAGGCCCCGTAGCGCTGGACCCATTCAAGGACATCGCCGCCCTGAGCCAGCTCCAGAATTATGTACACACGGGACGTGGTCTCGATGGCCTGGTAGAAGTTGATGAGGTTCTTGTGCCGCAGGACTTTCATTACCTGGCCCCAGAAGAGGGACCCATCAAGCCTGGGAAGGGAGAACCGTGGCTGTGCTCCCAGCCCCCTGCTCGCTCCGTGCTTCTTTCATAGAACTTTGCAATAGGAACAAAATAGGGCTTGGTGGCCTGTGGGCAAACCCTGTGCTTTGCACTTTCCCTTTTTGAGGGCTGATGGTGAATGAGTGGAAAGAGAGTGAATTTATATCAGTTCTGGTTTGGGGGTGTCCGGCCCCATTCCCTCCTAGTCATATCTTTTCTGAGAAGCCTTAAGCAGCTTGGTTATCAATTCCCTCTTCCTGTCCCCTTTCTAACCTGTATCTCACGAGGCAGGAACTTGTTAAGATAGTCCTCAGAGGCCTTCTTCTTTGAAATGATCTTGACAGCCACCATGACCTTCTGCTTTGTGTAATAAGCTTCATACACTGTCCCATAGGAGCCATTGCCAATGGCCTTGCCCACTTCATAGCCGTACTCCTCCATGACGGAGCGGTAGGCTGGAGTGGAAGTGGTTGGTACTGGATCCTGGGTGTCTCCCTTCCCCATCTCTTGGGCTTGCTGAGAGCAGGGAGCTATGCTACTTAAGAGCCTCCTATCTGCTCAGAAAACCAACACCTTGAGCCACTGAGGGCTAGGGTACCAAAGTGAAGTTAGTCTCCAAGTGCTTGCCTGTGTAGTCACACAAATCTGGGATGCTGGGTTCAGCTCTCCACTAGAAACATGGAAGGGGAAAAGGGAGAAGCAATTCTTTGTCTCCACTAGCTGTTATTTCTCATTCTCCTCTTGATTATGGAATTCCCCAAGGTCCCATGTTCCGCACACATCACAATCCACCTTCTATTCACCGCTGGCCACAAGGCTTGAGAATGAAGTGGTGTGGAACATACCCATTCCTGGGGCACCTTCACAGTCTGGTGAGACTCCCTCCATAGATATGGTCACTTCAATTATTCATGTTTATTGAGCACCTACTATGTGCCAGATCTCAGTGTGCTGAGTACTGAGATAAAATAAGCAACAAGGCTAGTAGACCCTATGCTCCCAGATTTTATATCTAGCATAAAAAACACATGAGTATGAGAATTTTTTTTAAATTAATTTGAGAGAAGAAAGAAACATCAATGATGAGAATCACTGATTGGCTGTCTACTGTACACCTGGGGCAGGGGAAGGGGGAAGCATCAAGCCCGCAACTGGGCTTGTGCCCTTGGCAGGAATTGAACCTGGGACCTTTTAGTGCTCAGGCCAACACTCTATCCACTGAGCCAAACTGGCTAGGGCAATGAGTGTGAGAATATTAAAGAGAATTGAAAGGTATTGTAGAAGCAATTCTAAAGAATCTAACTTTAAAATTCATATATTTTTCTGTTTTTGGCTTACACAACTTTATTTTTGCAAATTAAGCTAGACTTAGTTGGGTGTATCAACTGATGATCTCATCTCAGCTGGGATGGTTTCTGCTTCATATGGTCTCATTATCTAGCAGACTAGCTAGAGTTCCCTCAGACAATGACACTGAATTTCAAGAGAAAAAAAATCACAAGTTGCACGACCAATTAAGGCTAGGCTCTAAAATCACAAAGCCTATATAAAAGTAATACCTTTATAAGAGTAAAGACAATTACAAGGTTACAAGGATCACTGAGATTAAAAGTGTGGAGTAGACTCCATCTCTTAACCTGAAATGCATTATCTGGCCTTCCATGACCCTAAACTCTACTTCACCCTAAAGTCTAAAGCATAAACCTGATTTAATTCCATTTAAAACAATTTCTTAAAATATATTTTTATTGATTCCAGAGAGAAAGGGAGAGAAGACATCAATGATGAAAATCATCAATCAGCTGCCTCCTGCACAACCCCCACTGGGGATGGAGCCCACAACCCTAGCATTTGACCCAGAATCAAACCAGGGACCTCTAGGTTCCTGGGTCAATGCTCAACTGCTGAGCCACACTAGCTAGGCCCATTTAAAACAATTTAATATGTTCCCATTCTCCTTAGGATCAAGTACAAATTCTTTTTTAAAAAAATATATATTTTATTGATTTTTTACAGAGAGGAAGAGAGAGGGATAGAGTTAGAAACATCGATGAGAGAGAATCATCTGTCAGCTGCCTCCTGCACACCCCCCACCGGGGACATGCCCTTGACTGGAATCAAACTTGGGACCCTTCAGTCCACAGGCCGATGCTCTATCCACTGAGCCAAACCAGTTTCAGCGAGTACAAATTCTTTTTTAAAAAATATTTTTTTTTTATTGACTTCAGAGAGGAATGGAGAGGGAGAGAGAAACATCAATGAGGAGGCAGCTGATCAATGATTTTCATCATTGATGTTTCTATCTCTCCCATTCCAGAGAGAATATTAAAAGCAGCAAGAGAAAAGCAGGTAGTTACCTATAAAGGAGCACCCATACAATTGTCAGCTAATTCCTCAACAGAAACCATGCAGGCCAGACGGGAATGGCAATAACCTACAGCCAAAAATACTCTATCCAGCAAAGCTATCACTCAGATCGAAGGCCAGATAAAGAGCTTCACAAATAAAAAAAAAAGCTAAAGGAGTTCACTGCCAAACCAAAATTATATGAATTGCTGAAGGGGGTTCTTTAGGAAGAGGAAGAAAATAAAGATAAAAATTATGAACAACAAATACGTAACTATCAACAAGTGAAACTAAAAGCCAAGGGAATTAAAAAATCTGATGAATATTAACTGGTGAATATAATAGAATCAGAGATATGGAAGGGGAGTGGACTGACGCTTGTGGGGGGTGGGAAGGGAAGTGGGGGATGCGGGAAGAGACTGAACAAAAAATTGTGCACCTATGGATGAGAACAATGGGGGGTGGGGAAAGGGCAGAGGATGGGGTGGGAACCTGGTGGAGAAGAGCAATTAGGGGGTGGGGGAGAGGAACAATTGTAATAATCTGAACAATAAAGATTTAAAAAAAAAGATGAGCATTGTCCAGGGCACTGTGGTAAGGAAGCAGGGATGGAGGGGAGTTACTCACTTCATTAGAAGAACCTGTATTAAGCTACCTACTATATTCAAAAGCACTACTAAGTCCAGAGGATACCGAAATGGATAAATTTCTATAAGAAGTTAGCAATTAACAAGGAAGACACACATAAGAAATAACAATACAGTGCTGAAACCTCAGTGGATAGAGCGTCAGTCTGCGGACTAAAAGGTCCCAGGTTTGATTCCAGTCAAGGGCATGTACCTTGGTTGTGGGCACATCCCGGGTGGGGCGTGTACAAGAGGCAGCTGACCAATGATTCTCTCTCATTGATGTTTCTAGCTTTCTATCTCTCTCCCTTCCTCTTTGTAAAAAATAAATAAAATAAAACAGTACAGTGAGATAAAGTGCTACAAAGCATGGAAGGAGATGCAATGGGAAGGCTTTATAGAGAAGATGGCGCTTGCACTGTTCAAAAGTCTCCAGGCAGGTAAGGAATGGTAGATTGGGCAGTTGAGGCAGAAGGAACCACATGAGGCTTGCAGGCTTGAGAGAACATGACATTTAGAATTTCAACATGAGCCCTAGCCAGAAAGCAGTTGGTTAGAGCATCATCCCAAAACGCCACTATTGCCAGTTCTATCTCAGATCAGGATACATACAAGAAGCAACCAATAAATGCATAAATAAATGGAACAAGTTGATATTTCTCTCCCTTCCTCTCTCTAAAATTAATAAAAAGAAAAAAGAATTTCAACTTGAATACAGAATAGGATTACAGAAGGGGAAGAATGTACCTAAAAAAAATAATTAAGGTCCAGGTCTGAGTGACCTTACATGCCAAGCCTTGTTTTTAATATATTTTTATTGATTTCAGAGAGGAAGGGACAGGAAGAGATAGAAACATCAATGATGAGAATCATTGATCAGCTGCCTATGCATGCCCCCACTATTGGGGATTGACTGGAAATCAAACCATGTGCCCTGACTGGAAATCAAACCATGACCGCCTGGCTCATAGGTCAATGCTCAACCACTGAGCTATGCCATGCTAAGCTTTTTTGACTTTACCTTATATACTCATGATCAAATTTTGGAGTGCACCAAAATGAGAGCTTATTAAAAAATAGTGATGTCCACTTCCACAAAATCCTGATTTGGTGGTACCCAGGAATCTATGTTTTTAATAAGCTGATGTCATGGTAATTTAGGTGAAATGGTGGCCTGAATCAAGACAGCCAGGGAGAGCAGATATTTGGAAGATATTACCCTGTTTCGCCGAAAATGAGACAGTGTCTTATATTAATTTTTGCTCCCAAAGATGCGCTAGGTCTTATTTTCAGGGGATGTCTTATTTTTCCATGAAGAATACGGTACACATTTATTGTTAAATGAAAATAAAGGAAATTTATTACCTGTATGACAAACTGTGAATCCTACAGTATCAAGAATTTACTCATTTATTCAATGACAATCATGTCATCATCTTCTGGAACATCATCATAACAATCCAATTCCTGAATTTCCTGGTGAATTTCTTGTGATTCCATTTCTTTCAGAATCAAGAGGACCAAATCTCTCATGTTTAGCCTGGCTGGGGGGGGGGGGGGGGGGGGGGCGCGCTTATTTTCGGGAGATGCCTTATATTTCACTCAGAAGGAAACCTGTAAGTAGGTCAAAGGGATTTGGTGACATTGATCAGGGGGGTGGGGAGGGATATGGTAATAGAGAAAGAGGTTCAGGCCAAAACCGGTTTGGCTCAGTGGATAGAGCATCGGCTTGAGGACTGAAAGGTCCCAGGTTCGACTCCAGTCAAGGGCATGTACCCTGGTGGCGGGTACATCCCCAGTAGGGGCTGTGCAAGAGGCAGCTGATCGATGTTTCTCTCTCATCGATGTTTCTAACTCTCTATCCCTCTCTTCCTCTCTGTAAAAAAAATCAATAAAATATATTTTAAAAAAAGAAAGAGGCTCAGGTTTCTGGCTTTAGAGACCTATGGTTGTTGCTTAAAAACTCAAAAACTCTTCCAAAGCCGCTTAAGCTACTTTAAAAAAAGTGTTTTGTTGTTGTTGTTGTTGTTTGTTTGTTTTTACTTATTTCAGAAAGGGAGAGGAAGAGAGGGATAAAAACATCAATGATGAGAGAGAATCACTGATCGGCTGCCTCCTGAGGATGGAGCCATAACCCAAGCTTATGCTTGAACTGAATCAAACTTTTGTCTACAGGCCAAAGCTCTATCCACCAAGCCAAACAGGCTAGGGCTTAAGCTACTTTTCTAACTGCAAGATTCATTTTCTAAAAAAACGCAACCCCCTACTTCCTGGAACCTCACCTCCTGTAGAAAAGAGGGCTGGGTCAGAGAGGCCAGATGTAGGTAAATGAAGGACTTTTCAGGCCAGAAGCCACCTGTGACTCAGCTTCCTTACATGTTGCTCCCAGGTGGCCAAAGGGAAGCCACTGCCTCTGGGCCTGATCTCCAGGAAAATGCCCCTAAAAGTAGATACCCTTGAATAATCTGCAATACAAAATTAAGAGCAGTTCAAATACATATACATAGATGAATAAGAACAAAAATAGGAAAGAGACGAACGCATGGCTTCTTTACCTGCAATTAACAATAACCCTGTCAGACTGCCGGGTTAACCGGCAGACACCCTTCTCTGTGCCTCTCCACCAGCCCCCGCCCCGCTAGCCTGTCGTCAGCAGTGAACGGTCATTGCACAGCCACGGGGCCTCCAATGCAGCCTCGGGAAGACCGGCCATTCACACGGGGAGGAGCGGGGGAGATCCAGGGTCTAGGCCCTGTGTGGGCTGTGTTGAAAGCCTCACCAGGCCCGGGCTGGGAACCGTGAACCGCTCAGGTCTAGGCCTCAGCCATCGGTGGCGAAAGCCACTGGAGCAGCCGGCAAACGCTTCGGGGCGTCCACCAGGTGTGGGCGCGGCCGCCGCCCGGGTCCACGTCCCGGACAGCCACTGAGCGCGCTCACGGGCACTGCTCTCAAGGCCTCCGCCCCAAACCCTCCCAGGGACAGGAGGGCGGCCCGGCGACTCTTCCCCAAAAAGCGTCCTTATCTAGAGAGCCAGACCCGGGCGGCTGCCCGGCTCAGGAAACTGTCAGCCTCAGCGGGGCCGCCGTCCCCTTTAACATGAGGAAGAAGCTCCCAGCCGGGCTGAGGTCCCCGCGGGTGAGAGCGGAAGTGGTAAGCCTGACGTGTCTCGGGCTGCTCTCCCGATCGCCAGGAGGGCCCCCCGCCCAGGGAGAGGCAGGTTGAGCCTTGAGCGGTCTCCAGAGCGGGGCCGGATCTGCCGCTTCACGAAGCTCATCAGCGAGCACTTCACTGAGCGGAGTGCGGGGTCCCACGTGGTGTGACTGCAGCCGCTACGATCAGGCACATCGGCGGCCAACCCCATGGAGGCCTGTCCCCAGGTCCTCAGCAGGCCGCCGCGAGCGCGCAGCTCTGGGGCAGACCCCAGCGGGAACCCAAGGGCAGCTACGGGGCTTCTGGCGCCGCCTCGGCCAGCCCTTCCCGCGCGGTGAGGACCCCGGGACTGCGGCGGGAAGGTGCTGGAGGTGCGAGGCCGCGTGGCGTTGTCATGGCAACGGGCTGGGGTGCGCGGGGGGGGGGGGGGGAGCCTGGAGCAGGTGGGCTGTGGGAGGTGGGGGAACTTCGGGTTGAGGACAAGAGAGCAGAGGTGCAGCCCAGCCTTCGGGACAGAAACGTGGTGTGGTGTAGGGGATCAGAAGATGGCTTTAAGGTCAGATACGCCAATGGGAGGAATTGCAATTATTGAGCGGCACTCAATTGAAAGGCTTGACTTGGGACATCGTGAGTTAATTGCTGGTTTCCATAACCTCAGCCCTCTCCCAAACAGGTTCCACTGCCTTAAGGATGACAGTCTTAGGGCCCCCTAGAAGTTGGAACTGCCAGTGGTTGCCACTCCTGATGCTGCTGCTGCTGAGCACAAGCCGTGAGCCAGGGGTGGCAGGCGTGACACACTACAAAGCCGGCGACCCTGTCATTCTGTATGTCAACAAAGTGGGACCCTACCATAACCCTCAGGAGACTTACCACTACTATCAGCTTCCAGTCTGCTGCCCTGAGAAGATACGGCACAAAAGCCTTAGCCTCGGTGAAGTGCTGGATGGTGACAGAATGGCTGAGTCTTTGTATGAGATTCGCTTTCGAGAGAATGTGGAAAAGAGAATTCTGTGCCACATGCAGCTCAGTTCTGCACAGGTCAGTCTTTCTGCATTGGCTAGAACTTAGCCTCCCTCTCAGGGACTAATAGTGCATCACATCTATGGAAAGATCTGACTTGATTTTAACTACAACCCCATGTGACAGGCAGGGCAGCTGGTATTATTTGCATTCAGTTGTTGAAGAAACAGTACTTTGCTCAGAGGTGACTTTTTAAATTTACATGGATAGCGATTTGCAGAGCTGATATTAGAGCCCAGGACTCCTGACTCAAGCTTCTCTCTGGTAGTAAGCTCCCAACTATCACTGCTACATAGTTATTTCCATCCATACTTACCTTTCAGCCTTTCCATAATCGGCTCCTTTACACTCTTCTTAATTTCCCTATTTTCTTGTTGTTGTTGTCAATTCTCACTAGGTATGTTTTTCCATTGCTTTTCAGAGACGAAGGGAGGGAGGAAGGGAAAGAAGGAGAAACATTGATGTGAGAGAGACACGCTGACCAGTTGCCTCCCACACAAGCCCTAATTGGGGGCAGGGCGTGAACCCTAACCCAGGAATGGGCCCTTATCCGGGAATCAAACCCTTTGGTGCGTGGAGTAATGCTCTAACCATTTGGCAACACCAGCCAGGGCTGTCATACCATTTTCTTTAGCAAATCTTATATTTGGATACTTTCCCTTAATCTACTCTAGACCCTCTTACACTTTGCCTCGCTCCTTTTTCTAGGCCTTAACCCTGTCAAGTCATACTTGCTCTTGGAGAATCACAACATACTTGGGTCTAACCCAGAGGATCTAGACAAGGGGCAGTTTTGTCTCCCAGGGGACAATTGGCACTGCCTGGAGATTTTTAAAAATATATTTTATTGATTTTTTTTTTATAGAAAGGAAGGGAGAGAGATAGTTAGAAACATCAATGAGAGAAACATTGATCAGCGGCCTCTTGTACACCCGATACTGGGGATGTGCCCGCAACCAAGGTACATGCCCCTGACCAGAATTGAACCGGGGACCCTTCAGTCCGCAGGCCAATGCTCTATCCACTGAGCCAAACCAGTTAGGGCTGGAGATATTTTTGATTGTCATTATTGAGGGAGGGATGATACACTAGTGAGAAGCCAGGAATGATATATTTTACATCATCCAACAACAAGGAATTATTCAGCCCCAAATGTCAATAGTCCCAAAGTTGAGAAACACTTCTTTTTTTTCTTTTTCTTTTTTAAATATATTTTATTGATTTTGTACAGAGAGGAAGGGTGAGAGATAGTTAGAAACATCGATGAGAGAGAGTCATCGATCAGCTGCCTCTTGAACACCCCCTACTGGGGAGGTGCCCGCAACCAAGGTACATGCCCTTGACCGGAATCGAACCCGGGTCCCTTCAGTCCCCAAGCTGACGCTCTATCCTTTGAGCTAAACCAGTTTTGGCGAGAAACACTTCTTTAACCCTGTGCCAGGGAGGCCTTGTCTGATTCCTGACTTGCTCTTTGTAGGTGGAACAGCTGCGCCAGGCCATCGAGGAATTGTACTATTTTGAATTTGTGGTGGACGACTTGCCACTCCGTGGCTTTGTGGGCTACATGGAGGAGAGTGGCTTCCTGCCTCACAGCCACAAGATAGGACTCTGGACCCATTTGGATTTTCACCTGGAATTCCATGGAGATCGAATTATATTTGCCAATGTCTCAGTGCGGGACGTAAAGCCCCACAGTTTAGATGGGTTACGACCTGATGAGCTCCTAGGCCTCACCCACACTTACAGCGTGCGCTGGTCTGAGACTTCCGTGGAGCGTCGGAGTGACAGGCGCCGTGGTGATGACGGTGGTTTCTTCCCCCGGACACTGGAAATCCATTGGTTATCCATCATTAATTCCATGGTGCTTGTGTTTTTACTGGTGGGTTTCGTGGCTGTCATTCTCATGCGTGTGCTTCGGAATGACCTGGCTCGGTACAACTTGGATGAGGAGACAACCTCTGCAGGTTCTGGTGATGACTTTGACCAAGGTGACAATGGCTGGAAAATCATCCATACAGATGTCTTCCGTTTCCCTCCATACCGTGGTCTGCTCTGCGCTGTGCTTGGTGTGGGTGCCCAGTTCCTGGCCCTTGGCACTGGTGAGGTGATAAAAATTAACCAGTGATTATTTCTAAAGGATTACATGCAAGTAGGTGGTTTGTTCAAAAAGAATCGGCAGATCTGTCCAAGGTGAGGGGCAGACTAAGGGTGAGATGGCTCTAGCAAGGATGGGTATATTCTAATTGTGGGTTTTCTGGACAACAGAACTGGGAGATAGTGTTTTGCTGGAGGCCTTGGGTCTGGGAGAAGGGGGCTAATTCCTATGAAATTGCCATAAGAGGGACAGGTGAGACCTAACACAGATTTTCCACTACCGCCCTGCAGGCATTATTGTCATGGCACTGCTTGGCATGTTCAATGTGCACCATCACGGGGCCATTAACTCAGCAGCCATCCTGTTGTATGCCTTGACCTGCTGCATCTCTGGCTATGTGTCCAGCCGCTTCTACCGGCAGATCGGAGGCAAGCGTTGGGTGTGGAACATCATTCTTACCACCAGTCTCTTCTCTGGTGAGAATTGCCCTTTTGCTGGTGGGCCAACTTAGGAATTTAGAATTCATCATGGAACCTGGGATAGAATCCGAGGCTCCAAAGGAATGACAATAGGAAGACAAAAAACAATAAGAAAACCATTCAAAAGACAAGAATGCATTTATTTTGCATGGTTAAAAATATGAAGCCATTAAAATGTCCTAGGCATTGTGGTAAGTACTCAACATGCTTTCATCTTATTTAAGACTCACAATAACTCTATGAAGTAGGTAATTTTGCCCCTATTTTTAATTTCAGACATGTTAAGTAGCCTGTCAGAGATTAAACTCCTAAAAAGTAGTGAACCAGCCTTAACCAGCTTGTCTTAGTAGATAGAATGTTGGCCTGTTGACTTAAGGGTCCCAGGTTGGATTCGGTCAGGGGCACATGTCTCAGTTGCAGGCTCAGTCCCTGCCCTGGTTGAGGCACATGTAGGAGGCAGCTGATAGATGTTTCTCTATGTCTTCCTTTCCCTTTCACTATTAAAAAAAAAAAAAATCAATGAAAGACTATCTTCTGGTGAGGACTAACAAAAAAAAGTAGTGAACCAGCCCTAGCCAGTTTGGCTCACCATCAGTCTGTGGACTGAAGGGTTCTGGGTTTGATTCTGGTCTAGGGCACATGCCCAGGTTGCAGCTCAATTCCCAGTAGGGGGCATGCAGGAGCCAGCCAATCAATAATTCTATCTCTTGCCGAAACCGGTTTGGCTCAATGGATAGAGCGTCGGCTTGGGGACTGAAAGGTCCCGGGTTCGATTCTGGTCAGGGGCATGTACCTTGGTTGCGGGCATATCCCCAGTAGGGGGTGTGCAAGAGGCAGCTGATCGATGACTCTCTCTCATCGATGTTTCTAGCTCTCTATCTCTCTCCCTTCCTCTCTGTACAAAATCAATAAAATATATATATATATTTTTAAAATAATTCTATCTCATCATTGATGTCTCTATCTTTCTCCCTTTCCCTTCCTCTCTGAAATTAATATATATGGTTTTAAAAAGTAGTGAACCAGGTTTCAGACCCAAGCAGTCCAACTCTAGAGCTTGTAGTCTCAACTATTACATTGAGATTAATCTCTTTAATTTATTTTTTGTTACTCGAATTTTTTTTTTCTTCTTATTTTTTTGTTAATCCTCACCTAAGGATATTTTTTCATTATTTTTTTTTTTTCAGAAAGAGTGGAGGGGGAAGAGATAAAGAGAAACATCAATGTGAGAGAGACACATCGATCGGTTGCCTCCTGCATGGGGATCGAGGCTGCAACCAAGGTACATGTCCTTGACCAGAATCGAACCCAGGATCCTTCAGTCCATGGGCCAACACTCTAGCCACTGAGCCAAATTGCTAGTGTTTAATTTTCTTATTTTTGAGGTGGGCGACCACACTCTAGCCTTCAAGCTGGTATAACCTTTTAAAGGCAGTAGTAATTTGCATTCTAAAACTTTCATGTTCCCAATGCTGAAGGTCTGATTTATATTCCATCACATTTAGGGTTGAACCAGGGCTTTCTGAAGGAAAGGAATATTTCCCATTAGGAATCATTGATACCACAGCAGGACAGGCCCTTGGGGGCAGGTGGATTTGTGTCAGTCTTAGATCATTATGTAAAGCTGCCTTGATCCTTAATGGTAATGGATGGGAGGGAAGGGTGTTGGGAAAATAAGGAACAAGAAGTGGAACAGGAAAGGGTGGCATCTGCCTGGGAGCAGTGTGAGTGGGTGCCCCCAGGGATGTAGCTCCCAGTACTGACCCTCTCTCTGGGGGCCCATCCTTGCAGTGCCTTTCTTCCTGACCTGGAGCGTGGTGAACTCAGTACACTGGGCCAATGGTTCGACACAGGCTTTGCCAGTCACCACCATCCTGCTGCTTCTGACGGTTTGGCTGCTGGTGGGCTTTCCCCTCACCGTCATTGGCGGTATCTTCGGGAAGAACAATGCTAACCCCTTTGATGCACCTTGTCGCACCAAGAATATCGCCAGGGAAATCCCGCCTCAGCCCTGGTACAAGTCTACTCTCATACACATGACTGTTGGAGGCTTCCTGCCTTTCAGGTATCCTCCCCTTATCCTATGGCATCACGTTCAGGTTTCTGACCTCAGCTTTTCCTTTCCTCACTCACCCTAAGCCCTAACCCAACGTCAGTGACAATCTCTGGTTCAGCTGTACGATTAAGAGATCACTAAAGGGTCCCTTCTTTCTCCGAGCAGGACTGAGTTTGAATCAGTACTAATATGAGGTGTCTCATTTGTAAAATTGTCCAGAGAAATTGCTCCTTTCACCATCTTCCTGATTTCTGACTTTAGTGTTTGCAAATGCTATGTGACTTAAAGCCCATTTGATTACTCATTCAATTTGTTGAGTACTACTTCGTGGTGGGCAGATAATACAATAGAAAATAAAACAGTCAAGATCCCTGCTCTCAACCTATCAAAAATGTTCTTAAAATGAAGGCAACTGATCGTAGGTAAAAGAATCCCCAACAAACTCTGAACCCCAGGGCAAAGTAGATTGGACCCAATTGCCACAAGTGACACTGTAACATGGAAGGGTGATGGCTAGCTTTTAGCCTGGCCACTGTGCTGGCAGTGCACAGCCCTCTAATGCAGTGTCTTGTCTCTTCTCTTCACAGTGCCATCTCTGTGGAGCTGTACTACATCTTTGCCACAGTATGGGGTCGGGAGCAGTACACTTTGTATGGCATCCTCTTCTTTGTCTTTGCCATCCTGCTGAGTGTGGGGGCTTGCATCTCCATTGCGCTCACCTACTTCCAGTTGTCAGGGGAGGATTACCGCTGGTGGTGGCGATCTGTACTGAGTGTTGGCTCCACGGGGCTCTTCATCTTCCTCTACTCAGTCTTCTACTATGCCAGGCGCTCCAACATGTCAGGGGCGGTACAGACAGTGGAGTTCTTTGGCTACTCCTTACTCACTGGTTACATCTTCTTCCTCATGCTGGGCACCATCTCCTTTTTTTCTTCCCTAAAGTTCATCCGTTATATCTATGTTAACCTCAAAATGGACTAGTTTTGGGTGGCAAACTGCTCTTCTCTCCCTTTCTTCACCCTTCGTTTGTTTCTTCCCAACATCTCCCCTGACTGACTGAATTGTGTGATGGCATTATTGCCTTTCCCCTTGCCCTTGGGGCTTCCCTTCCCCGGGAAGTTCCAGAAATTATAAATCTCTATTATATAAGAAATATATATATTTGAACTTTTTAAGTTGCCTTAGTTTTGGTCCTGATTTTTTTCTTTTTACAATTATCAAAATAAAATTTATTAAGAAAAAGGATCCTGTAGTTGGAGGGTTTGGTCTGGATATAGGAACTCGAGACCTGCCTTTACAGGCCACGTCCCTTAGGAAGCCGGGCTGACCCCGGAATTCACGGAATTCTGTGTTCCACGGAGCTTGGGAACTCTCGGCAGGAGGAACCTACTTCGGCTGGGCGCAGTTTCCGCGGCTCAACCGTGCTTAGCCCAGCGGAAGTGGAGGAGCCGGTGCTCTTGCGGGAAGCAAGTTGAATCACCCTGGCGACGGGAGGGTCGTGAAGCAACGCCCTTTCCGCCGGAAGTGGGTTTCCGAGCCTCCACGTGCAGACCCTCCCACCTCCCGGCTGGCTAAGTAACGGCCGCTCGGCTGCTGCCATGGAGCCCGCGGGCCTGGAACAGATCCTGCGGGAGCTGTTGCTGCCGGACACGGAGCGCATCCGCCGGGTACAGGGCGGGCGGGGCCGGACCGGGGCGATCGGGAGGTTGCGGGAAAAACCCGACTCTGACCCCCAGCCTCCCTCAGGCCACCGAGCAGCTTCAGACCGCCCTCCGGGACCCCGCCGCACTGCCCGCGCTCTGCGACCTCCTGGCCTCGGCCACCGACCCCCAGGTGAGGCCCCCCTCCCGCCGAGCTCCCCACGGTGCGCCTCCGGCCCGGGCCCTGCTCCTGCCCAGACCCTCACGTGCCTGCTTCCTCGTCCCAGATCCGCCAGTTCGCGGCCGTGCTGATCCGCAGACGACTCAACACCCGCTGGCGCAGGCTGGCGGCGGAGCACCGGGAGAGGTGGGCGGGGCGGGGCGGGGCGGGCCTGGCCGGGAGGGGCGGGCGGAGGACAAACACCTGCCGCCCCTGTGTTCCAGCCTCAAGTCCCTGGTCCTGACGACCCTTCAGAGAGAGACAGAGTAAGTTCCCCCCCCACCCCCGACCCAGCCATCTCCTCCCGGATCCTAACCGGCTCCAGGCTGATTCCCGCTCTGGGTTTCTGGTCTCTCTCTCAACTCCAGGCTGGGAGTTGGGGGGCAGGGACTTGAGTTTTAGTCCAAGGGTAGAGCAAGGATTCTAAAGGTGTGTTGAAGACGGAAGTTCTTGAGAATGTGCCGTGATGTTCTGCTGAAGAATGGAATTGAAATTCAGTATGAATGAGATCAAGCTCGCCAGATTATACACCCACCATGCTGTTGATTTCCCCCTGAGCCTCTGTCTCATGTGTCTCCGCCAGGAAGTTTCTCTCTTGACCACCCTGTGGAGGCAGGGCCGGCATGTGCAGGGGAGGGTATTGGAGAATGATGGGGGTTGGGGAATCTCTCCTGTTCACAGGCACAATGTGAGCCTTAGCCTGGCCCAGCTCTCAGCGACTATTTTTCGGAAGGAAGGCCTGGAGGCCTGGCCTCAGCTCATGCAGCTGCTTCAGCACAGTACCCACAGCCCCCACATCCCCGAGAGAGAGGTACTGTCACAAGGCTGGCAGGAGGGAGGGACCCAGAGGCTGGATAGACCACACCTTCTCACCCCTGCTCCTGGACAGATGGGGCTTATGCTGCTAAGTGTGGTGGTGACCTCCCGGCCTGAGGCCTTCCAACCCCATCACCGGGAGCTTCTTCGGCTTCTGAATGAGACCCTCGGTCAGGTGGGCTCTCCCGGGCTCCTCTTCTACTCTCTGCGCACTCTGACCACCATGGCCCCTTACTTCGGCACTGATGACGTGGTGAGCTGTGGGCCCTCACCTTCCCTGGGCCCCTATCGTCAAGCCTTTATGTCCTTACCCTTGCAGGACACACAGAGCTATTTTAGATTCTTTCTCTGCCTTTTGTCCTTCCTAACAATTGAGAGGGGAGACTGGGGGGCTGTACTTGGGCTGTTCCTGTGTCCAGATTTCAAGGAAGCTACCGGCTTCTGGGGCCTGAGATTAAGCTGCATCATGTTCTCTGTGATTCAATTCATCCTTTGTCCTCCAGCCTCTAACACGGATGTTAGTGCCCAAGCTCCTCACGGCCGTGCAGACTCTGATCTCTGTCGATGAGGTGAGGACATTGGGGCAGGGCCTCTGATGGAAGCTCCAGCCTGCTCCACGGGGCAGTAGTATGGTAACCCTCTGACTTGTCTTTCTGTGTGGCAGGCAAAGGCCTGTGAGGCCATGGAGGCCCTGGATGAATTGCTGGAGTCAGAGATGCCTGTCATCACCTCCCACCTCTCCGAGATCCTCACATTCTGCCTTGGGGTGAGCCTGGGGTGGGCATGGCCCCCGCTGCTAGTTCTGGATTTCTTTTGCCTATTTCTGATTCACCTTAGTCTCTGGACAGGTGGCTGGAAACACAACTCTGGGTGATGCAGTACGTGTACGTATTCTCTGCAGCCTCACCTTTTTGGTCAAAGTCAAGAGCAAGGTGAGTGAGTGTCCTCTGATACACACAATGCTACCTCCATCCCTTATCTCACTCTTGGGTGTTTGTTTTTTTTTACAGTCTTGGAGTATCTAAAGTACCATAGCTAAGGTGCTTAAGACTTGGTCTGTCCTCATCCTGGCTCCTGGCTGGGAGATTTGAAATCTCCTACTAGACCCCTTTCTGGCCTGGAAGACTAGAATTTTTCATGTGAGTCCATCTGGGGAACAGATTCTTGGGGACACCTTTCCACCCTCTCTTTCAAGGCCTTGCTGAAGCATCGTCTCCTGCCCTCCTTGCTGCACACCCTTTTCCCCATTATGGCTGCCGAGCCCCCCTTGGGCCAGCTGGATCCTGAGGACCAGGATTCAGAGGAGGAAGAACCGGAGATTGGGCTGGTGGGAGAGACACCCAAGCACTTTGCTGTACAGGTGGGATATGAGACTGGGGCAGGGCGGGGGCTGGGTGGGTGTTAGGTGACTGTAGGAGGTTGGGGGCCAGAGATCCGGTCCAGCAAAGTTTCCCTGTCATTTTGTAGGTTGTGGACATGTTGGCACTACATTTGCCCCCTGAGAAGCTCTTTTCCCCGCTGGTAAGTGTGGCTCCATTCTTCTGGTACCCAAGTGCGCCTGGTCCCCCAAGGTGGAGGATATTTGGGCCCTTATGGGTGTGGAGGGCCTGTTGCTAAAAGAATGGGCAGGCTTGTGCTGGGGTTTCAGGAGAATGTCCTGTGCTCCCCCAGATGCCCATGCTGGAAGAGGCCTTGCGGAGTGAGAAGCCATACCAGCGCAAGGCTGGGCTCCTGGTGCTGGCCGTGCTGTCTGATGGAGCCAGTGACCACATCAGGCAGAGGTGTTTATTTCCATCTTAGAGACTGTGGGAAGGAGGACCACATGGCCCATGGTAGTCCTGGCCTATGCTTGTCATTCATGCCTAATTATCAATAATGTTTACCCTCTAATCTCAGAAGTATTCTGAGATTGAAAGATAAATTGCTATCCCAGCTACAGGGACCAGGGGGTGGTACCTGCCATCTGATGATGGAACAAGCCTTGGTTTTCCCAGGGGAAACAGGAGAGCAGCTCAGTCTAGGTCTCTCGGTTCCTGCTCCTCAGAATATGTTCTCTCGTCCTGCCTCATCCAGACTGCTGCCTCCACTCCTGCAAATCGTGTGCAAGGGACTGGAGGACCCGTCGCAGGTTGTGCGTAATGCTGCGCTGTTTGCCCTGGGCCAGTTCTCAGATAACCTACAGGTCAGTGGGGCTGCGTGTGGGTGGCCACCTGTCCCAGGGGCCACCTTCATGTCTCTGCCATTGGCACTGAGGTGGAGGTATGTGCCCTGCGGTTGACTCAGGGCTCGCTCTCTCCCACAGCCTCAAATCAGCAGCTATTCACGGGAGGTGATGCCACTGCTCCTTGCCTACCTGAAGTCCGTGTCTCCTGGGCACACACACCATCTATCCAAGGCCTGCTATGCCCTTGAGAATTTTGTGGAGAATCTAGGTAGTGATGGCAGTTGGGGTGCGAGGTAGGGGACAAAGCCATAGCTTTGGCTGAAGTGGGGCAGGATATGCCACTCCTAGAACTGCTGCCTGTGGCGGGAGAAAAGTGTAGCAGGGCTATAAGGAGTGTCGGCCTGCAACCAGTTGGACCCCCAGAAGGGGAGACGCGGTTTGGTTGAGAGGGTGCCTTTCCCACAGGGCCAAAAGTGCAGCCCTACCTCCCGGAGCTGATGGAATGCATGCTGCAGCCTCTGAGGAACCCCAGCAGCCCCCGGGCCAAGGAGCTGGCCGTGAGCGCCCTGGGGGCCATTGGTGAGGAGAAGGAGGCAGGAGATGGGGCGCGGGGTTCACCAGAAAGCCTGTGGCAGTTGGTCCCAACACCCCCCACATCCCAATCTGATTCTGTCCTTCAGCCACGGCCGCCCAGGCCTCCCTGCTGCCCTACTTCCCCACCGTCATGGAACACCTGCGGGACTTCCTGGTGACAAGCCACGAGGACCTGCAGCCTCTGCGGATCCAGAGCCTGGGTGAGGAAGGGGCTCCCAGGCAGGGCTCCCGGTGCCAGGAAAGGGCCGTGCTCACTTGCTGTTTGCAGACATCTCCCCAGAGCAGCCCAGGGGTCCCTGCTCGGTGAAGAGGCATTCCCATTTTATCTAAGAGTAGGTGGGATTTCTGAATTACCTCCGACCGCCACCTTTGGTCCCCAGGCCTTGGCCCTGCATTCCTCAGTCCAGCTCCACATCTCAGTGCTAACCCAGTCTTTGCCCCCACAGAGACACTGGGGGTGCTGGCACGAGCAGTGGGGGAGCCCATGAGGCCCCTGGCTGAGGAGTGCTGCCAGCTGGGGCTGGGCCTGTGTGACCAGGTAGACGAC